TTTGGTATTACCATTAGATGGTTGCGGTAGTACTACGATCAGCGATGTAAAAATTAATATTTAATATTATGCATATCCTAATTTTTTTTATATTAAAAAAGTCTTGGGATCTAACAAACGGAATCACGTCTTTTCAAAATAAAATAATAATCATGTTCGACAACGACCTTGGAATAATGTCCGCCTGGGATAGCGCTTATAAAGCATCTTGCGCTATGGGAGGAAACAATGGGCCAAAGATATCATCTCAAATAACTGTCCCGTAATTTAAACAACTTTATATGCAATAACTTGTATATATTTACCATAGGATGTTGGATACATCTAAGGTTGCCCCTACAACTATGAATATGCCTCCTGCATTTATGAAAATCGTGTCCGGAAAAGTGCCCACAGCTCCTCGAGCAAGTCTATTACGATTAGGAGAAATAGGAACGATTGTTATAACCATTCAGGATAATGTCGGTAAATATATTTTTAAATAAATAATTATATTTTTTATGGAGCCTGAAACTAAAAGGGTTTTCTGGTTCGGAATATTTTAAAACAGGTGTTTCGGTTTTGATTCCTAAAATCTTAAAAAGTAGATTCTAACTTCTTACATTGGTGGTTTAGAGGGCTTCTCCTGGTGCCAAACTCAATTTATAATAAGAAGATAAATTAACATATGGCATATATATATATTATTTTATTTTTTCATTTTAAAATAAAATGAAGGGATATTTGATCTAACAATCCTTAATTGTGTTGCACATGACGGTATGAACATAGGAAAGATTGAACTTTTAGATGGTCAAGGCTGTCCAGTTCATAGTAAAATTATTGGACCTCAAACGAGAGAAATATTCGGGCATGATATGTTAATATATGCGCACTTCAAGGTCTTCAAGTTTCCGGATGTTGAAAATGTGTATTTCGAATGCAACATTAAATTTTGTTTCCATAGATGTCAGCAAGTGATGACTATTTATATTTATTGGAATTATATTTTTGATAAGAAAATATTATAATATCACTAATTTAAAGATTTTTTTATGAATGAGATTAATTGATTTTTATAATGAATTTAAAAAATATATATAAGAATTATAATAGGCATTGATATTTATGAATAGTCATATTTTTTAATCATGCCATTTAAAAAAAATTTTTTTTATTAGCCTCAGTGTGGTATATATGGAGTATATACTGGTGACGGTGGTGTTAACAGGAGAAAAAGAAGCAAAAGATCTCAATATAATAATGGAGATATTTCAACCCTCACTTACAAAAACAATAATACTTACAATTTATTTCAAACAATCATAGTTGAGATTCCAGAAGTAGACGAAAATATCAACAAAACGAAGAAAAGTATATAATTATTTTTTTTAGAGATAACATTTATTTTTAGTCTATTCAGTAGTTAAATCACAAAAACAAATTTCGGAGGAAAATGCTTTTGAATCCTATCCAATTGTTCGTAATCTTTGTATGACCAAAATGACAATAGTCACGAGTCTAATATTTGTAACCATTTTATTGTCCAGCTTGATATCGGCCATAACCTATATTTGTTATAAAAGGGTCAAGGAAACCCAGAAAAATCTTCCGGATGATATCTGCTATTTACCTTATAGAAATGACCTAAAACACTGTGATTCCTCGTTTCCTTCCTCGCCAGTGTCGCAAAAGAACATAGAATTAAAAAAAATATGAAAACGTTCAAATGACTAAATTTACGCCTTTCTTATTAGAATTTTATTATAATAGCCTCTTTTTTAAAAAATTATTTTGTATATATAACGATCCGCTTGTTCAAAAGAATCCCAATCTCAAGTTATATCAGGGAAAAAAATAATAGAGACTCACTTTGTATAAGTTTATTTACATATCATAAAATATTTAATAATAAACTTCAAAATATTTATATTCGTATATAGCTCAAAATTAAAAAAGATTTCAATCCACAAAATGTAAAAAAAAAAATTCTCCATTTGTAGTAACAAATTAATAAGTTATTGTTTAAATTCAAGGGAGTCATATTTTCCTCGTTAGCTAACTCATCCTACAATTGTTATTTGAAAACGGCGTATAATTACCAATCAGCATTACCTAGCACGTATCACAGCTTAATATACAAAAATTAATGTAAAATTATTATATTTATATTATTGATCTGCATCGGGCCTAATTTTTCAAGCCCTGCCCGGCCCGAAATTTTTTTTAAAAAAGTTTTGCCGGCCTGGCCCGAACCCGATATTTTTTTAAAAGAATTTACCGACCCGGCCCGAATTTATTTAAATATAGAAATTAATTTTTATAATTACTCAAAATAAAAGACATGTTATATGTCGTTTAGTTTCAATAAATAAAATAAAATATTTTTATTTTACATAAAAAATTCAATATAAAATTTAAATTTAGATATATTTTAAAAAAATTTCCAAAGTCTGACCCAATCCGAATTTTTTTTAAAATATTAGGCCCGGCCAGAACCCGATTATTTTAAATAGGGGCTTCGGGCCGGGCCTAACTTTGCAGATCTCTAATTTATATTATATTTTGTATATTTCGCCCAACTTCGCGATAATTGTTAATGTAGGGTTACTTTTTTCTCAAGTTAACTTTTAATATGGCATGTTATAATGAAATACTGAATGCTAAAAAACTGTCTCCATTTATATGATAAACGTGAGAGTATCCTTGATTTAAAGGAAAAATATTTTAAATTTTCATAGCGTATGATAACCGCGCTTCGTGGCTATATAAAATAATTTAAATAAATTACATTTTAATTAGTGATGTAAAATTGGTTCATTTAAGCCGGTTATAAACTGATTCCGAAAAACGAATAAAACAAGTTTTTATCCAAAACCACCTTAGCCTCTTGACCTTTCTAAAGAATAACTGAATTTAAGGTTTTTTCAGCGTATAATTATTGAACCGGATTTATAACACTAATTTTGACTCTTATTAATTATTTTTTAATTTTGAAATTATTTATTAAAACTATTATATATAATATCTATAATAATGTAAAAATAATATAATTTTAAGAAAAACAAAATTAAGTTTCTAAAAAGGAACAATAGTTAAATTTGAAAATATTGATGTATGTTCTTTTTGAGGAATAGGAATTCCCTTGGTTCAGATGTTTGCAATTTGATTTCGTAAGCTAAATTTTTTTTAAAGCTAAAAGTCAAAGGAGTGAACTGTCCTTTGGTAGAGGCAGCTATTGGTGAGAATATAAAATACCTAAAGCTTTTGCATTTGTTAATTGTTTTATTCTATGATTGAGTAAGCAGGTTTCTATTAATATTAGTGGGGAAGGATGAGAAACATGTATAATCTCAAGGGGTTTGCCCATGGTCCATGAGATAGTGGTCAGACTGTCAGGTCTTAAGCCGTCATCTGTTGAGAGACAGTGTTCTAGAATATTCGGTATACGAACCTTTTTTAATAGGAGGCTTAATAATTTGATTGATGAAACGTTGGTGATGTCCTTTTAATGAGGTTGAAGTCATGCCTTCCCTTGGCATTTACTAGAAGATTGCAGTTCATGCAATTATGATATTGAACTAGGTCGCATCCGAGTCTATATCCTTTAGACACTCTTAGTTGTTCATTGGTTAAGAGATTATAGAAAGCTATATTTATAAATAAAAAAATTAAAGGCATATCTTTAAAAGGTTTATTTTGGTCCACTTTGAATAAATTATCCTTCTGCAAATACATATTTAAATTTTTTTCTAGTGAATGACTATCCTTTATGACTTTATAAATTTGAAATATACAATTAATTTATTTGTTAAATAGTCTCATACCGGTTATAACCGACTCCCATAAACAAATGAAACAATTTTACCAAATGAACCTCAGACTCTAGACTTTTCAAAAAAATGGTTGAACCTAGAATTATTAAGTGCACCTTAAGATTGGATGGATTTTGTAATATTGCTTATTTATATTTTAAAAAATATATTAAAGACACGAGCCATAATCAACGTTTAAAATGAATTCCCCCGATTTGAGTGAATTATTCTTCTGATAGTATTAATCATATCTCTTATATTCATTTTTTGTCATCATAGTTTAATATTTAATATAAATCTATAAATATTATGGTAGATAGCTCATTTGATCGAAAGGAAGATTTTCTAGCTATTTAAAAACCATAATACAACAAACAGCGTTAGTTTATATAAGTTATATTAAATTTTTACCAGTAGTATTGCTATCAGAAATATACGTCATAATAAGCGCAATTGCCCTTTATCGCTATATGAAACAGCAGAGCTACGCTTGGACTATATCATCCCATCTAATTGGGTTAAGAAATTTGGGGGTAACCTATGAGATGAGCCCATCCACAATTTTTGGGCAGGCTGCAGTTACCTGTGCGCGCAAGAGGCGAAACCACTTGCTTAAACGCCTACGGGAGATAAGAAGAGAGAGAAAAGCCCGTACCCGATTAAGTAAGATGTATATTATAGGGAGGGGTATTGGTAAATTTTAAGTTTATGGTCTATATTGAATTTGTTTACTAACTCAACTTTGCTTTTTGTAAATCCATGTGAAGGAATCTACTATCAATATTGAGATATAATGTTCATAGAATCTGTAAATAAATATGATTAAAATATAATTTTATCACTTGAAATTTTTCTACCGGATAGACCGAACCTCAAAAAAAATCTATCAGAAATATAATCAATAAATAGAAATAAGGATAAGTATGTACTTATATTGTAAAGTGTAAGTTAATAAATTATACGATCATATGATTCTTATTATAGAAAAAGAAATCATCTTGTGTCGCTTGCTCGCTACTAATTTAATTTTATTGAACTTGACAAAGGCTAAACAACTTTAAAAATAAAAATTCTTTTTCTTCTCTTTAAGATTTCAAAACAACTACATTATACGTATTTTATAACTTTTTATAAAAATTTTATTGTAAATTTGTACTTTGTATTATGTAGTATCTATTATATAATAATATTTACAATAATCTATGTGTGCATAATACATTTTAAGACTATAATCTAAATAGGTTCATGATATAAGTTCGGAGTCGGACAAATGTGTTTCCAATTGTTCATATTTTTTAGCCTTGTAAATATCTTTATTTTTCATCAAGTATAGTACTAAAAAAGATAATAAAATTATAAGGTGTAATAAAATGATATACTTAAAATATCACAAATAACAGATGTAAAACCCATTAAAGCTAGGCCTGATCCCATATTGATCATTAATGGTATAAAGTTAAATTTTCCTGCACTTCCAGTAGAAAATATCATAAATCGTATACCAAATACTTTGATTAAGGTTCTTTTCATGGTTGTATTTTCCTTGATAAATATAATATATATTTGATGTGGTATAATAATAAGTAATAAAGCAAACTATTTTCTACCAATAAGAATATAATTATTATGTGCTTAATTCCCGATACAAACTATTTCAAAAAATACATGTATATAGAGTGGCACAGGACATAAGAGATATCTGTTTTAATTCTAAAGATAAGCATCGAATATATAAAAACATATAAAATGTAATGTATGGATAATCATAATCAGTCAAATTAAAAAAAATTAAGATCCAATACCAAAACCAGTAAAAAAAGAGAGATCAAATCTCTAATAATTTTTAGATCCTTTTTTAATATACAATATTCTTTTGGACCAAATTAAATTCTAATCACAAAATGCTTAAGTTAATAACAAAAATATATCGTGGAGAGTTAAAATTGATGATTGAAATATACTTTATAACTTTGAAATATTGTGCATATTTGAAATTCCACCCGGGGGAGTAATTAACCTTTGGATCATCGATTCTTGAGAAACTATATGAAGGAATGCATTTATTTAAGTCCCTGTCCAAATTACATTTCCAATCAATTTTAACCGCGATTATTGCGCCTTGACTATATACTTGTTGATAGGTTGAATTTGAGTAATTTAATAAATCGTTCAATGTAAAAACTGGGCAAAACCAATTTTGCGATTCCGGGGAATATCTTATAATTTTACAAATATATTTTTTTGTTAAAAACATTTTAATATAGGCTAAGCTGACTATATTTAATAAACAAAAAAAGGTTGTTATTAAAATATATATAATTATAGTTTTCTTGGCAAGTTTAGTCATATTTAAGAAGATTGTGAAAAATAATCAATAAATTAACTAGGTTTTTTTATTTAAAAAGTCATAATGTTAAAAATTAGAGAAAATTGATTTGTTTTTCTATATTGTATTTAAAACCTTATAAATCTTTAAACAATTCCTTAATCCTAACTCTTTAGTAGCTATTTAAATCATGGTGTGCAAGTCGAATAATTGATTAGTCAAACACGGTCAATTCACACAACGTATATTTGACCGGCCAAATACTTTAAAATGTTATTTTTATGAAAAATGTTGCCTAAAAATTATAATATTAGTCCAAAAAATATTATTTAGTCTTGCGATTTGGTCAAAAGAAGAACCAAATCTTTTTTCCATGCATATGCGAAATCTCGAGGTTTAGGTATATTTTCTTATTAACTATGATCTCAAGATAAGCTTCATCTATAACCTGTCGCCTATAAATTTGCAAAAGAGCTCTAAAAGCAAGCATCTATGGTTGAATAAACTGTCTGTGATATATGCCCGGGAGAGATAAGTGATAATATCTTGGATGTTAAATGTTGAATAAAACAAATTTAAGTTTATAAAAATATTTCATCCGTTTATTGTTTCATTGTTAATAATAAAGAATGTACTTTGACCCAAGAAATAAGATCTATATTTGTTCCAATATCTTCTCCACCAAAAGCAGAAACATTAAAAACTTGTTTAAAAAAATTATTAATATGCTACTTAGTTATAACTTAAGAGTTCATAAAAAAAATAATAATAACTTAGTTAAATCCTATAGGGAGACTCACCAAAGCAAACGATTTATTTCAAAATGCATTTGTTTATAAACAAATTTTGTACATTTACATAAAAACGAATAATTAAATTTGACCGGCCAAATATCTAACCCTGATTTAAATATATAAAAAACGCATTTCTTTACAATTTTTAACATCTGGTCTTTCGCCAATCGCAAGCTAACGATTGTGTTGTCTTATTTAATATTTGTAATTTAATTATTTAAAAAAAGTATATATATTTTATTTTTTCTAACTACCCATTTAAATTTTTTTAGAAAATTTATAAATTTCTACTTAGAATACTATATAAATAATAATTTCAATTAAGGGAAAACACTTGCATGTTCTTAAATATTTAAGTGGATTGGGAGGAGGAATGGGTCTATCAGGTTCCCAGGAAAAGTTATCCATAATGTTACGCCTTTTAACACCGAATTTTGAAAAAGTTATCGAGTTTTTAATGAATATCGTAAAATTTTCGGCTCCGATAATTAATCTGCTTTCAGAATCACCACTTTTATTTTCTGAATAATTTATATAGATAGTTAACAAAAGTTAAACTTTATATAACTTATAAAAGATAAGGTAGAAATTAAATTATTATGATGCTATTATACATTTTTTAATGTAATTAAAAAAAATTAAATGTCTGAAAATAAAAAAAATTTATTTATTTGTCTGTTATTATAGCGCGCACAAATTAAACTTTTCAAGGGTTGCAAAAATTAATAGATTTCAAATGGTATCAGTCAAATTACCCTTTGGCAGAAACCATTTTAATAAACAAAAAATGGCTCTAATAATAAGTAGGCGGGGGGAGGGGCACTAAAAATCCCTCCCGCGTTGTTTAAAGGTAGACAAATTTTTCATATTTTATTAATAAAAATAAAAAAGAATTACATTTTATATACATATAAAAAACTATCTAATAAAATAAATTTATATCACGTTTTTCATAGAAAATTATGAAATATATGGATATTTTATAGCGACTAACCATGACATATACAACTAGAAAAGAATCTATCATAGATGGCATTGACATTTATTATAATTTTAGTTACCATGAATGAACTGGAAACTAAAAAGTAAATTTTGAATTTTGGAAGATTCAACAAAGATTATAAATTATACAAATATATGTATTTTCTAGATACCTTCTACATTCATTACTTTCGATTTATTCTTCATCAACATGGAACCAACGGAATCTAATCATTTAACATAGATATATATAGTAATATAAAATTAAAATAAAATCGGCCCTTCTCTTACTTTTAAGGTAAATAAATACATATGCAGTGAAGTATACATAAATACAAATAGGATATTTTGTATACTTCTTACGAATTCGTAATAACTATGAATGAGGGGTTACACGTACAAGTACTTGTGGCTTGCACACAAATATGTGAAGGGCTCCTCATTCCCCCTCCCATAGATCAAATATCCAGTTTGATAGATTTGAGCAAAAACTTAGCGTAGCTGTTGCTTTTCAACACTAGAGGGCTTAGCGCTGAAATCACGAATTTTAAAATACCATTATATATTTTTTTTCTAAATCAGAAATTGGGCGATCCCTTGGTAGAGGGAAATGTGGGAATGGATTTCTCGTTAAAGAACGAAAAATCAAATTAGTAGTCTGTCTTAAAGTAAACATGAAATTCCATAAAAGACATAAAATATGTTTTATATCATTTTTTTTAATATATAGATGATCTTTAAAAAATAAGGTTTAGATAGCACCGGACATCAGATTATAAGAGAGCCTTGAAATAAAATTATGAGATTATTTGATAATCATTTTTTGTTACTGTTAGTCCTCCAAATATTATTCAGTACTTTGGATATTTTCATGATGAAAGAAAACTATTTATTATATTCGAATATATTCCTCAAGGGGAATTATACAAACTTCTCGAAACAGCTAATGGATTTAATGATATTATAACCGCTTAAGTTATCGTCTATACATTTTAAAACTTTATCTCAAACCAATTAAAATGCTTTAACAAAAACTATTTCCTTTAAAAACGCTTATGATTGGTTAATAATCTCTGGTAGGATTTTTTTTGTCCAAAAATTTAAGGTATGTTTTTCTAATCGTTGTGAAGATTTAATAAATACTTTTATTTTATTTTAATAAAATTTTAGAAAATGAATTAATTATAAATCAAGAACAACTGAATAATTTATAAAGCCTATGGGCAAATAAAAAACATTGAGATTATTATTTATCTAGTATAGTTTTTTTTAAAATGATTTTTGTTTTAACAGGTCAGAGCAGTAATCTACTTTTATATCAAGTGCTACATATTAGAAATTGGCAACTGGCCACTAAAGATTTTTGAAATGGTTTTTTTTAGCCCATCGAGTAGTTTTTTATGAAGGAAAAGGACATCAATTTACCTAACAACCAGAAAATAATTCTTTTCAAGGCGGGCTATGCTAAACATTTGCACAAGTTTTTTTAGTGTATAATTCTCTCCTCGCAATTAATTTATAATATTAGGTCCTTTCTTTGGAACAAGGATTTAATGTTTCTTCAACTTTAAATCTTCACCGAGTTGAATGAATGAAATTAAAGATAAAATTAATATTTAAAAAAAATTGATCTCATAAACAAATTTTCAAAATGTATCAGAGATCGTGCATGAATCGAATCCCATTATGAATGCAGCCTAATATATATAGTTCCCCTATAAATTATTTTTGAAATATTTAAGATAACCTATTGCCGGCCTTTGGTTATGTAGTGAATTTTTCCAATTAACAAGCGACTGTGACCATTTTTTTTAGTTTAAAAAGATTTCTCAGACATAACTTACCCTATTTTATTGATCGCATATTTACAGGATTTGCCGTGTTTTCGAACAGAGACCCTTATTATGAGAGCACAAAATACGTTTTTATATTTTGTTCTCATTCAATTCGAATAGTGTTGTTAAAGTAAAGGGCTCGATTTTTCAAAACGGCTAACCCAATATTATAGCCATAAAATATTTAGCAAGCCTAGATTTGCTCATAGATGACATAATAGTTTGGGAATCTATTAATGAAATCCTGAGGCTTGCTTAATATTATTTTGGCTATCGGCAAAAACGAACTGTTTAACAACACTAAATTCGAACATCATAAAAAATAATAAAAACATGTCGCCTATTTTTACCGCTTTTTCAAACAAATTATTATTTGAAAAGAATTTAATGAAGGCGGTTTATAGGAATGGCATTAAGTAATTTTTTTTTATAAAAAGATGTGTCATCTTAAAAAAAACTAAAAGGAAATTTGTATTGATATAAAAATATTAATTAAAAAATGTAAATCACGTGTGATTAGTTGGAACTTGAGGAAGATATTTTATTGAATACTTACTTTTTATAAAAAAAATTTTTTAAATGAGTGATAAGAAAAGAAAAATAACAATTAAATTGAAGGAATATATAAATCTTGCTTAGCCATTACTTCCAACCATTATAACAACGATAAAATGTATTAAATATTAATTATTCTATAAATTATATTTTTGATTATTTTATATGTTTTTTAATGCAATCAATAACCATTGATGAACAAAATTATTTAAGCAAATAAATTTATTTAGAATTTTTTAAAATAATTTTATAGATAATTCCGCTGACTTTTAATGAATAAATTATAAGTTTAATATAAAATTTATTTTTTGCAAATTTCTACATATTTTGTGCTCTCATAGTAAGAGCTTCTATTCGAAAACAAAGGCAAACTTGTAATTTGAAAAACGTAGATAACATTTTTTGTTTAAAATAATTTCGATAAATATTAAAATAAAAATATTATGGATTTTATATCCTTATGGTATAAAAAAGAGTCCTTCTGCTATTTCAATACTCTTTTCCTTTGATGAAGGGATCACTTTCAAATTATTATGTAAATAAATATGAATAATACCGTGTAAGCCAGTTAATTGTACAGGGCACCAAGCTTTTATCTCGCAAACACCATTGGTTTCTTTGCCATTCAGATTTATATCTAATATTATTTTTATATTGTAATTATAATTCGGTTCGCATATAAAATATATATAAGATATACTATTTATTCAAGGAATAATATTTGTAAAATGCCTATAATGGATCTAGTATTTTTTTTTCAATTTAAATTTTACTTAATTTGAGTTGTTGATTATTTTAATTCTCAATTTTCTCTAGAATATTTATTTGTCAATTATTATACTATTTTATTCTCCAACTTAATTCCTGAATTATATTATTTTCAACTCTAGATAATTATTAAATCAAAAATGGTTTTTGTTTTTCAGATCAAATATTTAATTTACGTTTTAAAATCTATTATCAAAATATAAAATATACATAATATAAATACTCATTTATTCTTCTCTCTATTTTAATATACTTAATTTTTTATTCCTCATTTTTTAATAAAATTCAAACCAAGAAACAACATAATAAGATTTCTACATTTTACACACATGTCCATAATTAATTTAAAAGCGAACTTTACATTTGCTCCAACTTTTACTTTATTATTACATTAAATTCAAAAACTATTTTACTTCTCTCACAGAGAAGTGGAAAATTTTTATTATCCGTATTCACATTGGCGTACAAAAAAATTCACCTATTTAAATTATTTTAAATACCAAATAGAATTATGCAGTTACTCTATAAGATAATCAAAATATAACTACCACTTATATATTCAATACATAATATGCAATTATCTAGTGTTGTTAAACGGCTAAAACCCAATATTTTAGCCAAAAAATGTTATGCAGGCCTGGAGATTTTCTGCCATCTATGAGCGAAATCTCAAGGCTTACGTAATATTTTTGGCTGAAATATTGGGTTAACCGTTTTTAAAAATCGAGCCGAGCTGTTTTATAACACTACAATTATCACTGTGTAAATATCTATTCAAAGTAAGAATTTAAAACCATAAGGCAGCCAATTCTCTTATTTTCCTTCAGTAAAATTAACTATATATTTACACACTCTTATTATTCCCTATTATATTTTTAAAATTGGCAGATAATATAATAGAAAAAGTATTCAAAGACTAGAAAATTTACAGGAACAAATGATAACCATTTCATAACGCTCTTTACACGATTTGTCCATTCGACAACATACATATCTTTAATAAAAATAATTCAATTTCTTTACTCTATACTTTAATCTGTTGAATATATTTGTAGTGTTTCATAGTTATTTCTATGTACTTCTTAGATGTAGTTACAGCCTGCTGACAGAAATGTACTCTATAAACTTTATAGCTGCAGTCACAGCCTGTTGGAGGAAATAATTCGACAATTTATTTAGATTCCGTCTTTATGTGTTAAATTTTACAAAAATTAATAATGGTATTATCACATTAGCCAGCAATATTCATTACTCCGATTGGGATTAAATAGAATATTTGGAATATATTTAGTTCACAGAGTAAATTTTTTTACTTTGAAAAAATAGCGGAAAATAAAATAACGGAGATTTAATAAAATGCAAATAAAATTTCCAGCTAATCTTATGATATATAAAAATAAATTTAAAACTTCTTAAAATTGACATCTTATAAAATTTTAGGATTTTTGTGGAATTTATGGCGGGGTTTTAAGTTTTTAAACATTAGATATACTAAATATATAGTTTCGTTTGTCCCGCGGACAAAAATTTTTCTAGCGGGACGGCGCAACCTAAAGCAAATACAGGTCTGCCTTTACCTATCAAAAAATTTACAGCTTCTCAAAAGTGAATATAAAAACTTGAAAAAATTAATAATTTTGCCAAAAATTTTAAAAACTTACCAAATATTTTTTAAACTGTCCATCTATTTTGATTGCTTACTACCCAAGTCAGAAAATTTAATTGATAACTTGTCAAAAATTTTAAATATCTACCAAATTATTTTTAAACTGCCCAATTAATTTTAAATACCGCTCAAAACAATTAGTAATATTGCTCGTTTCTTATAACAAAAAATACCCGAATAATTCGTTATTGTTTTTTAATTATACCTTTTCATATTCTTTTGTATATACAATTTAATTCCTTTTTTAAAAAAAATTACTTAAGAATATAAAAATGTATGCACATTTAAAATGGTATTGATTTACCAAGCGATAGAATATATAGAGAAGAATTCTCTAAACATAGGCCTTACTCTAAATAAAGCTAAATCTGAAATATGCTTTTTAAATTCAAATACTCTCGAAGTCCAAGGGTTTAAAAAATTTTTCGAAGGCTTATTAGGACTTGAAACTATTTTAGAAGAAATTCCTACACACCAGAGCTTTTTTCTTTTAAAAAAATATTTATTTTTACCAAAGATTTTACATATTTTTAGATCTTCTTCCTTTTTTTAAATATTGAAATTATTAATCGTGCTCAGGAATTTTTTAGAAGCTTATTAGAAAATATTTTAAATATTAAATTGGAAGATTTTAATTGGGGTTTCTCACAATTACCCTCGAAAATGGGTGGTTTAGATTTATAACCTTTAAATCTTATATCTCTTTCCTCATTTTTGGCATCGCGTTTGATGAATAACGCCATGATATCTTCTTTTATCTCTCCTAAAGATCTTTTAAACACAGCCTTGACAGCCTGGGTATCTTTAGCTTCACCTGAAGCTGTTTTACCCACAATCTTAACACACCAATCTATTTTCGAACCTTTAATTAAAAATTTTTTAAATAATCTCATCAAACCCCTATTCAACTATTACAGAGTGCTGATGTACTAGTGGTTATGAATGGTTGGAAGCATTACCAAGTCGTAACCTAGGTAACCTCTTATCAGATGAACAACTAAGAGTTGCCATAGGCCATCGACTAGTATGTAACATTGTTCAACCACATACATACATCAAATGTAAAATATTAGTTGACTCCAAAGGGAGACATGGTCTAAATTGTATATATAGTCAAAGCAGGCATGCAAGGCATGCAGCAATTAATTTAACTATTAGCCGCATCCTGAAGCCTACAAATTTATCATTAGATGATGGCTTAAGATCAGATGGCCTAACTTTCGTGCCTTGGTCTTTAGGGAAATCCTTAATTTGGGACTTCACATGCGTATCTTCTTTCCCAAAAAATTTAAATTCTAATCCGGTTGATATAGCCGAGAAAAAAAAACAATGAAATATTCCAAATTCACTAATTATATTTTTACACCAATCGTTATCTCTTCCCTTGGACATATGCCAAGCGGAACTTAAAAATTCTTAAAAAATATAGGCGATAAAATAAGAGCCCTTACATCAGAACCAAAAGAATACTATTTTTTAAAACAAAACCTACAAATAACTATTTTAAAATATAACTATTCATGTTTTTTGGGAACTTGTAGTCCTACCTCCGTTTTTATAAAATAATGTTTTATTTTATTTTATATTGATATATTGTTATCTTTGTTTGTATTTTGTACTTATAAATCGTTAATTATTTTTTTTACAAATTATAATTAAAAATATATATTAAAAAAAAAAAATTTATAAAAAAAAAATCGGTATTTATATTTATTAAACAAATTTATATATAATATATATAAGGAAGGTGTGTTATGATTTAATGTATTATTTTCCTATTGCTACCTAAAACTGAATTTTAAATAACTTTCAAAAAAAGAAAAATATTAAAAGAAGAAAAAAAATTTATACAAAAAAGTGAAATGTTTAGTTTGAAGGTAAAAGTGGGAGGAGAGATCAGAATAAGGGTGAGCCAATCAGAGAGTGAGTTATCAATTTAATTAAAATTTGATTTGAAGACCTTGATTGCTGGCCTTTGACTAAAGCAGAAGCCTCAAGTTCTCTGTTTGACCAAGATTAATCTATCCAATTATTTTATTAGGTCTTTGGCTTGACGTCCAAAGATTGTGAGTGGTCATAATGACAGGATAGAGAAAGGATACTGTTCTCGTATGTCAATGTATATTTCATATTTTAATTTTATGCTAGATCTTTATTTAAGTTTGATGAAGCCAATAGATCGATGCATAAATTCCATGACAGGAACTTGTCATCTTCCCAGGTCTTCTATTACCTGAGAATATTCTTGTGGGTTCCGTTGTTGAAGGTATTTCAGCAGAGTTTAAGCTCACTTTATAAGCGAGATGGAAACAGTTTATTTGTCACATTTGCACATTTATGTGACATAATTGAGTTAGTTCATAAAGTATAGCCACTGCTAAAACATTCTTGGTCTGAGTTTCAAGTCATAGATAGGATTGCCTCTAAAGATTAATGTCTTAAACCCCTGTTCAAAGAGCAAAGGAAGAATGATCGACAGATTGGTGTATAGGTGACCAATATCACCTAAATTCATGATACCATTCAAGTCTTTCAGCTTGGTTGAAGTGAAAAGATAATTGCCAGATCTACTTGTGTTGAGCCATAAAGAGAAAGTCACATCTATCAAATGGTCTGGAAAAGAGAAATGAGCAGCTAGGGTACCAACACAAGCCTAAATGAGATGAAGGGGACCAAATTTCGGTTCTTTCATTGAAAGTAGGTAGTGTAGTTGAAATGAAGTAATTAAAACAAAAATTGATAATCTTTCCTATTATTTCTTCTATTTTTAACTCATATATTTTGAGTTCTCCGGTGAATTTGAAGATGGCAGTGGATCTTATAGAGAATGGATATTGAAGAAGTTTTTTAATTTAGAAATAAGCCTTAAAAGTCAAAAGGGAGAGTTCCTCAAAGTTTTTGAGGCTAGATAAAAGGTTTTATTAAATAAATTGTTGGATAGCTCCCGCAACACTGATAGGAAAACCGAGATCATTTTTAGTTATGAATAAAAAGTAATTTTTAAAAAAACTTATAGCTTGGATGACTAATAAATTTTTCAAAATAAAAGCTAGCGAACATCGGCTAGAACGGAGTTATTAATCAACTTCTCATTCAAGCTTACTTATTTGAATTTAAAGAAATTCATTATTTTTTTAACTCTGCGTCTATTTACGTTTCGTAAGAAATAATGCATTATAGTCCGTAAATAAATTGAGGTTGTCTTTGTATTAGTATCGTATAAATGCTATTAATTTCTAAATATTCCATTTTAAAAGACAATTTATTTTATTACATATTATAAATTACATATGATTAAAAAACAAGGAAGGTATTTTTAGTGCCTCCATCCCTTCCTTTTATTCTCATTAGTACTCCCCACCTCTTCATTATTTTTATCTGGGTAAAAAAAATGTCGACTTTCTTGCAAAAAAACCGAGTTTTTAAAGAAATGGCCATAGACCAAGGTGCAAAATGAATGAATAAAAAAAATATTGATAAATAAAACTAGTTAAAACGATACCATCTGAAATGCATTATAAGCTTCTAAACTCAGCGTTTGAAAAGCTCAATTTGTGCGCAATATTAAGATGCAACTAAAACTATCTTTAGTTTTTTTTTTGGACAGATCTTAATTCATCATTTAAGAGAAAAGTCAACCTTGAATTTAGTCTTAGGAATAGGATAATAAATTTAAGTGGTTATAAAAATATTTTGGAAATGGCCAATTAAAAAATAGGCCTAGAAAGAGACATTTTAGTGGAAACCGAATGTTATAATATTTATCTTCCAGACCATTTTTTCTTTGAAAGATATTAATCCTTTGCCATTGGAACTGGTGTTAGTTATTCCTTCCTTAAAGAATTTACACCCAAGGATGTGAACCCCTCGACAAAAAAATAAGGTCCGGATTCAGATTTAAAAATCAGGGGCTCACTATATTTACAATCTCATGACATGAGTCTCAAAAAAATATTTTTTTAATTATTTTCAAAATTATCTTTTTTTATTTTATAGTTAACATAATCCAAAATTACCTTCTTTTTTTTAGTGGTGTAAAAAAAAATTTTGCTCATTTCAGGGGGCTCAAGCCCCTCTGTGCTCCACCACCCTAGTGATGCTACTGTTAAATATTTAAAAGGGTTGGGGATTAGCATATTAAATTTTCATTTATAACCAAATTCTACCTATAAAATAGATGCATAATAAAACTGATATTTTTAAAATGCGAAGAAAATATTTTATGAATTTTTTTTATATAATTTTTTTTTTGATACCTAAAACCCTCCACTTTTAAAAGGGATTCAGGTTCCGGTTCAGCAAAAACATGAGGGTTCGGATTTGCATCCCTATTTAAAACTACTCTACACCGATATTTTAATAAATATTATAGTAGTTAGATGATGTTAACTTAAATATATCTTAAGATTTCATTCAATATCGTATTTTTTATCAAAAATTTTTACATGTTTTAAAAATAAATTACAATGATCTTTTAGAATATAATTGCTTCTTTTTTCTGAAAGAAATGACGGAGTAATTCGTATCTCTCTCTAAGTCTAAGGTTTAAATTAAAATATCTTATAAATTTTAAAAAATGCCACCTAATTTGAATATAATATAAACGTGCCATTTAAAAATACTATTTTACTTATTGCCACGTTTATTGATATAAATATATTAATTATAAGACTAATGTTACTATATTGACCTTTGGAAATAAATTTTACACATCTGCCAGTTTGAATTCCATTACCTCCCTCTATTATCTGACCATTTTGACAACCTGATTGATAAATATAATCGTTAAAAAAAATAAAATAAATTATACTATTATTCCTTGAATGTAAAATACAGAAAACACTGGGAATATTAGGATCCTCTGGACACTGACTTTGTATCTGATTTTCGGTTATAATCAATCTAGTTGGGATATAAAAGGCATTGTTATCAACTGGAGGAGTAAATTGATAATCCACCATGTCAACTATGGATTCGGAGTCGTTTGTTTTTGTATATGCAGAGCTTAATGAGCCTATTCCCTTAATTTTAATACTATTGGCGCACATGGGTAATTGGTCAAATGATTGATAACCTTTCTTATATAAGAGAACATATCCGATAACATAAATCAGAATGCTAATCTGAATCGTTTTATTGATTAAAGCAAGTTGCCAATTTCTTATTTTTATTATCTTTGGTGTTTCGTATTCCAAGAAAAACATAGCCGAAATGAAATAAAAAGTAGGATTTTTTTTTCAATAATATTAAGGCGATAACAGTTCAATAAAATATTATAGATATAAAAATAAAAAGCGAATAGCTTTTGTTAATTTATTTATTATTTAAACAAAAATTGTATGTATACAAACTATTTGTTTTTATAAACTCGCGGTACCAAACAATATTATTTTTTTTATACACAAATCTTTTTTCTTTCTTCTATTTTATTTAATAGAATTTAGCTATAAAATGGGAATTTTGAACATTGTCATTTTGAATAGAAGTAATTATAAGCAGTATTTTGTAAAGTGTATCAAAATTAAAAATATGAGAAGCAAATGATAAATGTTCCATTCTGCAATTTTCCAACAAGTTCATGTAATTTAAATTTGTTTTAAATTTCAACCCTGCACGGAATTTTTTCTTTTGGCTATTTTATTTTTAAAATCCTTACCCAATAAAATATATTGTTTTTGCCATTATTTTGTTATAAAAATATTTCATTTAAACGTGATTTTAATTGTACCAATTCTTTTTAAAATTAGAAAATTCTACCAGTGTCCTCCTGATCTATTGATAAGGAGACTTCCCCTCTACCAACTTTTAAATTAAACCCTGTATTTCTTAGTCTAGTTTTAACTATTTACTCATCACGCATTCGACTGTGCATCGAAATCCGAGATTTACTTTTCCAGGATTCAATCACCATGCCCCTATCTTTTGGTGCTCCTATCGGTGGCTTTTTTTTTTACTATAAATTTCTTCTCCGCCAAACTCCCAAGCGATTTCGTTAATATTCAAGACATCGAAGACCATCCCAATTTTCAAATATTTTACCTCTTAATAAAATCTATATATCTTCCAAAAATCAGGGGAACGTTAGGACATTCTTATTATAATTTGAGCTATTATTTTATAAGACTGGAAATTTGAGCCTAACATATATAATTTTGTCACACATGATTGGCTAAAAAAGATTTGAAAAATAGTTAGTATTTTAATTTTTACAGAAGAAAATGTGTTTTGGCATACCAAAAGTAATAAAAAATATTTGCAAACTTTATCGTTTATATTTATAAATAAAGCTTCAAAAATCATAATAAATAGATTTTAGGAAAGCCTAAACCCTATTTTCCAATCTGGCAAACTTTCAGAATCAATAAATATGAATTAATATGATTTTGAAGGATATTTATAAAGTTAGTGGGCTCGGTCATAGTTGGTCATAGTATAGTTGGGACACGCCATTTTAGCTCATTTTATCAACAATTGTATAATTTTATTATTAATTTAGTATTGTGAATAAAAAATAATTAAATACTTATTTTTCACTATGTTTATGATTAAAAAAAAATTTTTTTACATTTTTTTCTTTACAATTTTTTTTTCGCCAAAATAAATTTCCTAAATTTTGCTAAAATTTTTTTTATATAGTTATTGATTATGAATTATAATATTATCAATAAAATCATATGTGTCATAGTCTCTAGTCTTACTGGATTACTGATTTTAAATTTTTTAATTTATTTAGACCTCTATTTCACGAGTGTCCCAACTATCACATATGTGTGTCCCAACGTACACAGAGTCTGTCATAGTTGGGACAAAAAAAAATTTTTTATTATTAAGGTTTGAACGAAAAGTGTCCCAACCATCCCCGGTCTCCCCTACATTTTAGCCTACCTTATCCCAACATTTGGGATTACTTGAAATTTATTATTACTAATTATCTTTTATTCATTTTGAATCCATAAGGAAAATATTATCTATTTTTTTTACAAAGTTGCAGCTAGAACTATGGACTAATAATAAAAAAAATTCAAAAACATTAAAAATCAAAATTTATTTACTATATATAAAAACAAACAACTATGATTTTTAATTTTTAAGAATAGTTTCAAATATTTATGAATAATGTCGAATATATAATATAAATTTTGATAAATATGAAGAAGAAGAAAAAAATTATTGCGAATAATTTTGAATAACTTGATCGAATAATGTATAAAAAATTATTCGACGAATAATATATTTTCCTTATTCGTATTCCATTCGAATTTGTTATTCGTATTCGTAAAATACGAATCTAGTAAAATCGAACAGCAAATAATTCGTTTTAGGAACAGTAGCCACTACAGCCAATTTTCAAAATAATAATAGCTACTAAATTCAAAAAGTAAATAGCTTCCGTTACTTGAAAAAAATTAGTGCGCTAAATATTATTTTATAAAATATGAAATTTAAACATTTAAAGAATATATATCAGATAGATTTTTAAAAAAATTACCAGGACCAAGTCTAATATTTTAAAACAGAATATTTTAAATTGCCATTACTATCTATAAAACAAAAATATAAATATAATTATATTTTAAAAAAATCAGGGTCGATCCTAAAATATTTTTTAAAAAAATCCGGGCCGGGCAGTACAAATGCTACCTCTTCATTTCTCTGATATATATCATTTAAATGCATTTACATTTAATAATAATTAAGTAAAGCAGAAAATACTTTTTTTCAGTTGTAGAAATGTATTTAACTGCCTAACTTTCAATTATAATTGAAATTTCCTTGTCATAATTACCAAAATTATCTTTTAAATTTACAATTGCCTTTATTGATCTCATAATTAATTTATAAGCTCCCAGTAAGTTGGCCTTTGGCCAAATCAAGGGCACCACTATCCTTTACAATCTCAGGCGGTTCAAAAAGAATTTTTAAATTACCTTTTTTTTAGCTAACATTATCAAAATTACATTTGGTATTAAAAAATATTCAAAATTTTGAGGAGGCCCTTCAAATTTTTCCCACAATAACCCGTGGGCTAAATTGCAAACTTCTTGCTTTAATCACTTTTTAATTTTTCGCTTTTTAGAAAATATTTAAACAACCGGTTCACATATGTCATAATTTTATTTAACAACCAGTTCGTATAAGTTCGTATTTTAATTTAAACCAACTGCTCATAATAAACATATGCCTCTCAAGTGTTGCAACTTTCCAGCTCAATGCTGGCCATAATTGTTTCAAACCTCTGGATTTCTATCCACACACGTGGTAAATATTTAGAAGGTTAGTAAAATATTTTAGATATATTATTTTTGTGATTTTATTACCATTTTTTCTAGATATATATATTATGCTGAGAGTTTTAATAACCCAACCCATTTATTTCTTTCATACCAAAATGAAATTTATTATAATACATATTTTAATTTAGTATCTAATTTGCTAAATTTAAAAAATTTATATTTCATCACTGTTGTATGTATTTTATATAGTACGTTTATTTAATTAACAAAAAAAGTTAATATACCAATTTAAAAAGATACTTATTAGCTTTGTGTTATATAAATGTTTATTTTACTGTTCTGCGGCTATATACGATATACATAATTATTTTTCTTGTTATATAAGCAAAGGGAAAATTTTATGATATATATATTATTATTCACTCTACTTACATATACTTTAATCAAATTAAATACTAGTGATATTCTTAATCCTGAGCTAAAATCCCTACAATCATTTAATTTTTTTTATCTGATACCAAGACCGTGCAAGCGAATGAACGAACGGAATTCTCTTTGATTTTATATAATTTTTGCCATTTAAATTTCCTTTTTGGTTGATTTTATTTTTTAGCGCTAGGTAAATTGGATTTTGTTTTAAAGGGCCACCAAAATATTTTTTCCTTTGTCACCAAAAATCTTAATGCAGCTTTGACTTATGTATTCGAATATTTTCTTACTTACTTTTTTGTTCTATACATATTTAAGCTAACGACCTATTCTAAACATTTTTTTTAGATATATAGCAATCTCTGCTTCCCTACTATTTGTGATCCATTTTTTATTCACTACCATTTGCGATATTTTTAAAATATATTTTAAGAGTTTTAAGGGCAATGAGATATTTGATGAAAGGTTAGTGGATAACTTTTCAATGCAATTTTGCACAGAAAAATATATATTTTCTTGCAAAATATAATAAATATATTCATAATTTATCATAAAATTAAGTTTTAGACTATTTTATTTAATAAATAATTTTATAAAATTTGCCTAAGCCTTTTATTTATTAAAGATCAACATAATCCTGTTTTTTTAAACTTAGAAAAATGTTCTTAGCGAATAGAAAATTCATATATTTAATTATAAATCATACTGTATTTCCAATTTATTTAAAATCCACTTGTTTTATTAAGCATGTATTTATCACTCATCAGTATAGGCGTAGTCGGGGGGGGGGGGGCGATAAGATAAATCCCTCTTTAGAAATATGTTTGTGAACATAATTTTAATAAAAGATATCCTCCTTAGCTTCCCCACCCCCTTTCCCCCAAAAATTTATGCATATATCTTAAACAATAATTGAGAGAAAGAAAGTAAAAGTTAATAATTTTTTAAACTAAAACTAAACACTATAATTTATTTTTTTGGATAAAAGCATTTATATATTTTAGCGTCAATGTGTTATTTTTTTAACTTTAAATCATATTTTGAGCGCATTTGTTAAAAATTAAAAAATCATATTTTGCCAGAAATGTATGCAGTCATGTTTGGAAAACCTACCCTGTGAATTTCAGATAATTTTCCCATAAATTAATATAATTTTTATTAAATTTTGCATATATTTTTTATATAAATGATAAATGACTCAAAGGTTAACAGCAAAATTGCCTACAATTGGTATTCCAAACATGATAGAACATATGTAAAATCCAATTTCTAAATTTAAAAAACGCGCTAAAATGATTTAAGTTGTAAAAATAACACATTGCTGGAAAAAACATATTGATGCCAACATATATAAATGCATTAATATAAAATATAAGTGTATTAATATATATATATATATAAGTATTTTATTATATTTTATACAAACTAATAAAAATATAGTTCCCATTTGTACCTTAGCATATTTTTTGATACCATCTTTTGGTAACCAATTTCATAAAATCATATATACTATGGGGTATAAGGATATATTGTACTCTGCCCTTTTCGTACACTCAGAATTAGTGTTCTTAAAAAACCCAATTCGAGTTGTTCTTAAAATGGCCCAATTAAGATCATAACCAAAATAATATTATATAAACCTAAATTTTGCCTATAGATGGTAAAATGTTTGGGTATCTAGTTGCAGAGGAGGACTGGCGATGCTGCGGCCTCGTGGGCAAATGTTTTCTAGCGGCCTCATTTTCTTGGCGGATTTAACCCCATTCCCCGTGTGGACTTTTGACCCGGTCCTGACCTTCGGCCGGGACCCTTTCAATGGCTTGTTCATATCATACCTATTTCTTATATTTTTGGAATGTGTAAAACGTTGGATTAAACACAATATTACAGTTTCAAAAAAGACTCATATTAAATGATAATCACATAATTTATTTTAAGAATTGCACTTATAAAATCATACTAATTTAATTTATAAAAGTATTACATACTGCACTATAAAATCTACATACAATACATCATATTGCACCGAGTATGAGACAAATTGTATATATATATAAAATCAGGCATATTGTAAATATAGCTTCCATAATATTCAAATTATATATCAAACGAATATTTTATAATTTTTAAGCTAATAAATCTCGCATTATCTCTCAACTTTACCGCAAATAAACATATATTCAAGTTTTGCATCAACATATCTTTTTGAACGGGCATCAATAAAATTATCTCCAATTAATCATGTCCCATATTTACCTTCAGTCTATATTTTATAATTTTAAATTTACTAAATGTTCTTGCACAATTTACTAATATATTAACAAAAATAGATTGATATATGCCGTTGTAAGCAGAGTTAGGCAGAAAGTTACAAATTGAGTTACGGTACATATAACATACCTCCCATTTTAAAAACGAGAGCTTATGTAACCATTATATTTGTTTTTGTTACTTAAAGTAACGTTTGTTTTTCGTTGCTTTTAAAACATTTTGACTTTATTTTAAAAGTGATTTTTTTAATTAAAAATATATTTTTCATAAAATATATTAAACGTTAAAATGGGATGTCTGATTGTATTGATCAACAGAAAGCAAAGTATTTCAATATAACTGTAAATAGGATTTCTTCAATTTCAAATCTTTTCATTGTGGGATTTAATTATATATCGTATTTATTTTTTTAAACAATGACAGCTATTGAAAAATTAATATTTTCAGCAGGACGACGATAGTGTTTTGGTAAAAACAAATTTTGTACGGTTGTGAAAAACAGATTATTTAAAGTTTCATTTAAAAACATTATCACTATTTAACATCATATTAATTTACAAGATAGAACCGATAAAAATTATTTTTTTATTTCCGCAGTTTTTAGTACAAAGATAAATTTATATCACGATTCATCATTTGAAATAAATATATAGCATAAATATCCAATAATATAAAAATTATTCATTGCAATATATATTTACCAATCCCGTATAGCACTATTGATTTGCAAATTTGTAAGACTAAACCCTAGACAAAAATTAATTGATCGAATTAATATTTTAAATTGATAATCTTTGATTTTTTTATATTAGACAATAAAAATTAATAAGTTTTCATTTCTTTATTGTACTACTTTTATTTTTAGATTACAGAAAAGTGATTCAATAAAATCCATAATCGCATTTTTATATTTTCATTTATTCTTATTTTTAATCATGTAACGAAATAAGTAGCATGCTAAACTCTGGTTGTAATGCATATCATTGCATTAAAGAATCTCATAGATACATTTTATGCATTGATTACTTGGTTGGAGTTATTATTATCTTGACCTACAAATAACACATTCTTTATAAGCTCTTTATTCACCGATAATGGTTATAATTTGATCAATTATAGGATAAAATGCTTTAAAAATATAGAGAGTAATCGAATCTTTGAACCTTCATCATTGCATTCATCACTATACATCTCCTTGTTAGACTAATTCCAGTTTTAGCACTTCATTTTGTATCCAGATGTTATCTTATCAGCTTTAAATCAGTAATATTTTAAATAAAATTTGCAGCCAATTTTATAGGTTTATTTCGAATGGAGGTGAATGTTATGAAAGATACAGAAGATTTCGCAACTTAAATTATTTTCCAAGCTCGTAAATTTTCATTTTTTTTTACCTTGAAGATATAATGAGAGCCGCATTATTTCAAAAAAATCAAAAAGGATTTAACTTTTTAAATTTTCTCGGATTCTCAGTTAAAGATTTAGCTACTGATAATTGTTTTTGCCTTATAGAGTTCAGGCGTAAACGCTATTAATCATGTGGGCACGTGAAAAAGACTTAACAACTTCTTTAGCCAGATGAATTATTTTCGACTAGATGATTGGTTGTCTTATACTATATATTTGTATAACTAATTATAATATTAAATTCCTAATTTTACTTATAGCGGCATTAAAAATTAATCATAACTTGATTTTCAGTAAAATGGACAAACATTTTTTTTTTTTTAAACCATAAAATTGCAATATCTAAATGATTATCCTCATAAAATGTATTTATATGAAATTCTAAAATGCTAAAAAGGGAATATGATAACTTTTATATAAAATATATGAATATGATAAAAGAAAAGAAAAGAAAAGAAAAGTCATAACATATATGATAAAGAGAAATAATATATATTTTACATATTTTTTTCTGGTTGGCCTCTTTTTTCTATTTTTTTTACTGATCGGCCTTCAAAATTGAGATTTTCTTACGGTCTCGTCGGCCAAATGCACTTGGTCTTAGGACGATTCCTTCTGTCAAGTTGTTGCAAGCGGGGAAACTTGCTCTAACGTTGGGGTTGGAGTCGATATAAGAACGGTATAGAATTGATGATGACACATTAATGGTATTTATTCAAGAAATTTCAATGTAATTATTATAAAAATTATCCTTTTTATATATATTTTCTTTTTAAACAATTGACTTTTAAACTCAAAATAAACATAATATGTCGAATTATCAAGTCACAATACAATATAAAATAACGCCTTAAACATTAAAATATGAATAATATATTAATAAAATTTACAATCTTGTAACAGTTGCCAAATCCTGTGGCTCATATAATATTATTTTGGCTAAAATCTAAATCGGGGTTTTTAAAAATTAGCCCAACTGCTAAACATCTAAATCTTAAAATATTTCCTGAACCCCACCTAAAATGTTGAAATTAATACAAATAATTTAAAAGAATTTAATATATTAAGAAACTTATTAAAAATTTACAGCTGTCAATAATTGTAACGAAAATCATTTTATTATTATCTTCAGTGGATTCGATAATGCAAAGATTAATATTAAGTTCGCTGTCAAAAACTTATCATGGAAAAAGAAGTATGTCTGCTGAGGTTAACGTTGCACATGTTCGCGGTAATATTGATATAGTGTATTTTACTATATTACATTTAAAGAGAAAGCTAGATTATGGAGAAACGTATTTTTTTATGTTTTTTGCCCTTTGACAATCTTAACTCATATTCATGTGTATATTGCTAAGAAAAAAACACATGGTCACAGGCCACCTTACAAAGAATATTCATATATGAGAAAGATTTCAAAGGTTAAAAGTCTTTATTTGTTAAATTTAATTTTATATTTAGCCATTCTTCTGGAAAGATGGAAAAACTCCTTTGTTTTACAATCCCTATTATAATCCTTTGCCAGGTGTGGGCTATGTTACTGATGAACCTCCTAACCATTAATACTTAGCCAAAGTGCTAAATAATCTTTATGTTTTTATTTTGATCAAAATTATAAAAAAAATATTATCGGTTAGTTATTTTATTTATTTGGAATAAAGGTTATTGTGTTTAAATTGTTGCAAAACTGATAAAGATATATAATATGTCTATAACTGAGATGCACCTATATTTGGTAATACTTCTGGATATCATATCAGGTCAATTCCTATTTAAAATTTACTAAAAGACATATAAAAAAAATTTTCTATTATGGTTTATTTTATGATTGTATAATGATATATTTTATTTTATACTATATTTTGTTATATTATTTGCAAAGTAAAGAATTTTAAAGTGTCTGTCATATTCAACTTTAAACAGCACTTTAGCCAATTTCTTAAAATGGTTAACTCATGATTTTGCCTAAAATAAATTACTCAAGCTTATTCATTTTTCCCACATCAGAAAGGTTTGGACTTTTATTTGCCAAATTTCAAGGTTTATGTAATAATATTTTGGCTAAAATCTTGATTCTCCATTTTTTTAGAAGAGAGCCAAAAAAAATTATAATTTTTTTAAGTTCAAAATAGCATCAAAAAATTATTTATATAAATTATCAGGTTGAATAATTTGGTATTGGTTGGTATAAAGCTGTGTAATTAATTTTTTTAAAAGCCAACCTGGTCCAAAATTTTTTAATATACCTGGGCTGGGCCTGAAATTTTTTAAAAAAATACCTGAGCTGGGCCTGAAATTTTTTTTAAACAAATACCTGAGCCAGGCTGTATATTTTAAAACTAAATATTTTAAATCGCCATTATTAGCTATAAAAATTAAAAATATATAATATATTTTAAAAAAATCTAGGCCAGGCCTGAAAATATAAAATGTTGGGCCAAAAAAATTTTTGAAAAAAAAAAATCTGGGTTGTGCGAATGTACCTCTGCAAGTCCCTGGAAGATTGTATTGCAATCAAAATATTTTTAATATATGTAATATATATTGAATTTATGCCCCTAAGATCTTGACCTGCCAATTTAGAGCCTTGCGATGCTCAAAAATATTTTTTATGATTATATGAACCATATCAAATATCTATTTTTACGCCCTCCCCCTCCTCCCCACACAAATCTACTTCATATACATCACTTTAACGTAGAACTAAGCTTATATAATACATCCATCCATCATCATATCAATATTCGGTTTGATTAAATTATTCCTGTCCCCCATAGCAATAGCTTCTCCCATCAAGAGGTAGCGTTTTGTTCCCTATTCAATAGATCTTTTAATTATCTATCGATTGGCACCTATAATAACCATATATTTATATACTTTAATTAGATCAAGAAAAATAACTTAAAATGTATTGGTCTGAGGGTCTATGCTCGGGGTTCATGCTCATAGCTACCGATGGTGTTTATCAAATAGTATTTATTTATTTTATGTATAATATAAGAAAATATATATTCATATATACTTTTACAAAATCGTTTATCTATTTAATCTATTACTTTAAATTGTATCTTAAAACCAGATTAACAAAATACAATTTATATTAATACATTGCAGTTCTCCCCACTACAAATTGAATTCATCATGATAATGTAATGAGGGTTTCGAAAGTTGTATTATCATTATGCCCTGCATTGTCCAAATCCTCAGTCATTGTTATGGGTATTTCCTTAGTTTGTACATGAGCATCCCTCAGTTGGTCGGCATACTTGTTTTTAACAATAACCTCAGATTCAGCTTCATACACGCACTTTTCTATTGAACCACTGTCCCTTCATGCCATCCCGCAGTCCTTTCGTTTTCTACCCAAACCTTTTGCTTATCTCCAAATGGCTCAACGTTCCGTTCCTATCTTTATAAAATTTTTGTTTCCATAATACGTTTTCAGTATTTTCTCTCATAGATAATATCCATTGATGAACGTCGTCCTAAGCGGTTCCAAACATCATTTCAGGGGGGGATTTACTGGTAATTGCATTTGGAGTATTTAATTAAAACATTCGCTAAATTTAACTGGTCCGGAGTCCCATATCTCCTTCCATCATAGAAACGCGCCTTTAACGTACGTATTTAACGCTCAGCCAAACCATTCAATTTAGGGCTATAAGGGGCTGATCTAAAATGCTTTATGTTGCTTTTAAAAAGAAAAGTTTTGAATTCAGATCCAGTAAACTGAATACCGTTATCTGAGACAATGGAGCGAGGTAACCCAAATCTAACGAAATAATTGCGCAAATTATTTATTACACTCGCGAATTAATATATGTTAAAATTGCAACTTCAGCCCATTTGGTCAAAGCGTCTATGCAAATTAACTAATACTTTCTAGATCAGGACCTGTCAAATCAACGTGTATTCGTTCCCTCGGGTAGGAATGTTCCAATTGTATAACGGCACTTCTCAGCTCCCGGTCTTCCTTCCTGACAACTTTGCAGCATTTAACGAACTCTTCAACATCACGATCAAGATTCGTCCAAAAAAACATATTATCTACATAGTGATTTCATCCCCACTATCCCAGGATGTCCTTGATGAATAACATTCAACACCTCCTTCTATAGTTTATCGGGAATAATAATTCTATCACTATAAAATAATAATCCTTCTTCGAACGAATTTTTTTAAAATCTCCGAATAATTATTTATATTATCAGTATATCATTTTTAATTAATTTAATAATCTCTTTCAGATTGATATCATTGCTGGTTTCATTTACGACTTTACTGCGAGTGAAAGATAAATCTTGTATTAAAATTTTTAATTCTCTAATTTCAGCTTCGAATTTTTTTACAACTCCATTAGTTTTTTCTCTCTCTACCCCCAAAAGGGACAGAGTCGGTACATTTGTTTTGATTACCAGGTCTATGAATTATTTCATAGTCCTAATTTAATAGCTTCATCGCCCAACGTATTCAACGGTTATTTTATTTGGTCTCTTTTACCACCTAAGATATATTTTAAAGGTTAATTATCTGTAACCAAAATAAAATGTCTTTCATAAATATACTGATGAAACTTATCGATAGCGAACATGATCGCCGAAGCTTCCCGATCAATGGTGGCGTAATTATTTTCTGCCTCCGAAAGTGTCCTCTATGCGTAAGCAATCGGTTTCTCCTGGCCAGTAAGAAATCGGTGTGCAATAACAACTCCTAGACCATCTTGGGAAGCGTCACAAGAAATCACCACAGGAATATCGGCAATAAGGAATTATTGTATCTTCTTTTGTTTTTTTTTAACTCTATTATATATTTCATTCTTGAGCTGACCAAAACCAACTAACATTTTTATTCGTTAGTGGGTTTAAAGGCGCACAAATAGAATGTAAATTTTTTATAAACAACTCATGGTAATTCACCATTCCAAGAAACGAACGTAATTCTTTCCGAATTCATCAATAAAATAACCTAAATAAGTAATTGACTTTTCCCAATTTTAATTTTATCGGTCGTCATTGTCAGTCCAGCCTTATCAAATCTTAATCGTTCTTCTAGGTTAACTATATGATCAAAATTATTCTCGCCTGCAATAATTACCTCATCTAAAAATACACTAACCATAGGAATTCCCTTTAATAGGTTGCATAAAGCGTTGAAATATTATCGGAGCACTAATCAACCCAAATAATAACCGAAATGAGTCGAAATTTCTAAATGGTCCCTACATTCTAGACAAACTCCGAATTGTAAAAATGCATCTCTTAAATCTATCGTTGAAAATATTTTACCACCTGGGATCCTATTTGTCAGGTCGACGATAGTTGGTAGTAAATCGTTATCTATCGCTAAATATTTGTTGATTGTTAAACGAAAATCTCCGCATATCCGCACGGCACCAGATTTCTTTAAGATATTAATTGTTGGCATAGCCAAGTGATTGGAGTGGTTGTTGGATCCATTTCTCGATAACGCTTTACACAACCAACTAATTAATGCCTAATTCAAGTAAGATTTTTGATTAAATTTCATTTAAAATTCTAAATCATTTTTTGTATTTAATATAAATATTTTAGAATTACTTAAATGTAATCTATTTTGCAATTTTGTATTCTTTGATTTCGATAAAAATATGATAATACTATAAACTTTTATAATAACTTTGATAAAATAATTAATACATAAAAAATATAATTATAATTTATCAAAATATTCTATTGTTCCACGAATTTGTGATGGTACCTTTTTAGAAATTAAAAGAGTTAATATTATAATTATTAATACAAATCAATTATAAGGATTACCTAATTAATTAATTGTTCGCGATAACCCAACCCCAAAATTCTTTGCATGTGATTGTAAAAGTTAATAAAATCATAAAGAATAAATCTGTGTAAAGCTGAATAATATTCCTAACAATTTCATCTCTTGAATTATGGCGGGAATGATTTCTCTATATTTATTTTTTAAGACTCCAAAAAAGTTTTCGATGGGATTTAGCTGAGGTGAATATGGTGGTAGGTATTCAATCCTATCTTCATAAGCATTGATAGGATGACTTCTATGGATAGATGCATTATCCATTACAATAATTGCACCTGGTGATAAGACATTGATAAGATCTGTCATAAAATTACGGAATAATAACCCATTATAAGCTTCTTCGATTATTTTATAATGGATTACCGCTCCAATTCCAATTGTACTATGCTTATATTTTTACCCTTAGAGGATGGGATTTTTATTATTGGACGGACATTGTATGGCGCCCAGGCGTAGATTGGTACAACAAGCAAGTTTATTCCAGTTTCATTTAAGTAATATAATTTTTCTCTTGGGATATTTATGATCTTTACATATTAGATTTGATGAATATTAATTGCCCCGGGAGTATTTCTTCTATCAGGCTCCTTGACAGCTCTTTTTTTCGACCAACCTATATTTTTGATATATTTACTAATTGTTGTTTTCGTTTTTGGACTACCAGAGGGTAAATTTTCTATTATCTCCTGGATAGTAAGTGTTATTTTCCATTAATAAGCTTATGATGTATCTTTCAATTAGAGAAGAATCTTTTTTCTTATTTCCTGTTTTTTGAATACTGTATTCTTTTAAAGATCTTCGTTTATATCTGGGAATGTGTCCCGTCTAAATTTATGAACCGATTCCATAGACATTTCGAATTTTGCGATGTCTTTGATTTTCATTTGTTGTTTTTTAGGCATTGATAACATTTTAGTAACTCTATCTATTTTTTCTTGATTCCAATATATTTGTATTCTTTTTGGTCTTTAAATTCTCGATGAAAATTGGGAGTTTTCATTTAAATTGGAAAATTTAGTATTACTATTGGATAATAAAGATTCTATATTAAACATTTTTTTTTATTATTTGAGAAAAATTAAAAAAAAAAAATTAATAAATATTTAACTACAAACATTTCTTTTTAACGATTAATCTTGTTAATTAATTGCTTGTCCGTATTTAATTTCAATATGTATTAAATCAAAATAAAATCTTATTATGTTTACCCCCTTTTATTGTAAGTTTATTGTTAACACTCGTTTCACTTTAAAAGCGTACATACATAAGAATCAGCTGTGATGCCATTGTATTTACATGTCTACTAATTGTCTTTATGTTATTTAATCGAGTGCAAACCACAAAAGGGTGATACAGGTGCCCCCTTTGTATGGGCACTTAAATACATTTAATAAATGAATCGCCAATCAAGTAGTTGTCACTTTTCAAATTTACATTAAATATCAAACATTAAAATTATCTCATATATATAAATCATTGACCAGACCAAAAGCATTTTTGCGTTCATAAAAATGTGTTATTCTATGTATCGGAATATTCCAAAAAAAAATTATATTTTATCTCTACTTAAATATTATACCAATTTTTACACTATGTAACATTAATAGACATTTTCTAAAAAAATTATCTTTTATATCTATATGTGAAATGGGTGTTATTAAAAATTTTGTCAAAAATACTTCTTAAAAATATCTTGATAACAATATTATCCATTGAAAATTAAAAATTGATTTTATAGCTAAAACAGTTAAAATTATTTCAAATATGTTTTTTTTAAAAAAATTATAATCATAATTCTTAAAATATAAAAATAATAATGGGTAATTTGGAATTAAGAGATAATAAAACGAATACTTAAGAATGAGCCATTTTATGTAAAAAATTATTTTTAATATTTAAATGTTCCAGAACTGTTCTCGGGATCACTGTTTCCGATCGAAAATCTTACCCAAGTTCCGTTCCATGTCGCTGTCCAAAAATAAACAAAGGAGAAACAATTATAGAAATAATATATTTTTTGCAACGATTCAAAATATTAAATTGAAATATAATGGATATTTAAAAGAAAAAATTAATTTACTAACATAAAAAAAAATACAGTATGAAAAAATGACGTAGAATATTTCATACTAGTAAGATTGTAAAACATATTTAAAAAGAAAACAGGTTAACAAGAGTTGAAAATGAAAACCTTATCAGAAAGTGTCAAAACATTTATGATAAAAATAGTAGTTGCTTTGCTACTATGTTGTGCTTAAAAGAAAATAACGTTAAATGTATACTATTGAGAGTGATGATTCAAATAATAGTTTTAAAATTTCCAGAGTATTTTTAATTTCAGAATTTAGAGCATCAGCTGCTTGGTTAAAAATTTTAATTTTGTAATAAATCTTTAACGGGTGAATCCAATCGTAATAATTTTAAATCTAAGTTATGAAATTTGATGATTATTTATATAAGACTCTTTGGGTGGGCAGGTGAACTGGATAAATATATTTTTAAAACAATGAGTTAGTTCTTAAATTTGATCAATATACCTCTCCACTTCACTACTGGCGACTCGATGATGGGATTCAAAATGCTCTCGTATTAACGTGAATTCCAAATGAAAAACATAAATAAATAGAAATGGTGGAGCTAAAAATATAATTCAAAATTCTAAGAAATAGTAAGCAATAAAATTATTTCTTCACCGTCAACCAGAGAGTTTCAAAGTCAGAAAATGAAATTTTTTTACACAATAAATAAATCCTCCAAAATGATTCACATATCATCTCGAACTAATATAATATAAATTAGTTTGAACTTTTCAAACTGCTTCTGGTAAATTAAAATGAGTTTTGGTTCTTAAGATATGTTCTGGTTAAGGTAGTTCCAGATTCTCCCGTTCCAAACCCTGATTTCAGCATCTGAACAAATTTTTCCGTTTTTTATTATAATCGCATCGCTATTTGTGTAGAACTTAAATATAAGGTTATAAAACGCGTGGTGATTTTATTTACAATACAAAATATTTAAAAAAAATGTAGAATATACATGCAATAAGATTTTTTTCCAAAAAATTAAATAAATATATAAATATAATTATTGAGTCAATATTTTCTCTAATATATTTTGCTGTGGAGAATCTAATAAGCTTATACAATGCCTGAAGAAATCGATGTTGTTCTACACACATAAATATAAATAACATCGAATTTTAGTATATTAAACTTGTAATTGTCGTAGAATATTTCGCATTCTGATTCCAGCTAGATCTTTGACATCCACAACACCTTTATTAAAAGCTTCGGCGATTATGTTAACTATTTTTGGTATGTTGGAATTGTTCTGGCCAAGGACTATCGGATTATTACTTAATTATAATATTTTTGCATAAAAATATTTGCGTAGTTGAAGAAGCATTTGTTAAAAATATACTTTTAATTACTGCCCATAGTATATAAACTAATTTATAATCTAACCTTTCAATTAAATCGCAAAAATAGGAGTATATATGTTGAGCCTCCTCAACGTCCTCACTAACAGGAAGCCAACCAAACCATTCATGGATCATTTCATTTAGCATTGTCATATCTTGTGGATTTGTTGATACAATAAATTTGCAAATTTTAGTGAACGCGGATATGGCGTTTTCGGTAGCGTGTATGTTTTCAATCGCCCTTGAATCTGGATGAGTTATTAGTTGTCTGAGAAGCGGCAATAACTCTTAAAGTTAAAATTAATAAAAAAAATTCGCAACCTAATTTAACGATGAAAAATTTGATAAAACAGGCTAAAAATATTCCGCTTTTTAAAATATTTATTCTTTTTTTAAATTAGTAAAAAGTCAAGTATCTTTAAGCTATAAGGGTTAATAAAATCGTATTTTATATTTAAAAAATCTATTAACATATTTAATGATATCTCAATTAAATCTTTATAGATTCAAAAAATATCCTTAATTTTATTTTTCTAGAGAAAACCCTAACCCTATTGGTTGTGGACGCTTCTAATAAAGGTGTAGGAGTTTTTTTAAACAGAGCAAAAGGTGGGTAATATTAAAATATTTGTTAATTGAGTTCATCTTGTTTTTTTTATAAATTTTCTTCAGAAAATTTCAAGTAATTTATAGCTTTTTATTTAAAAATTTGAAATATATACTCATAGTTTAATAAATAATGAAACCAAGACAGCAATGGAATCTTAGCAAATTTATATATATCCTAACATTTTATCAATTTCTAAGATCCAGCCTCGTTTTGATAATTCATAAAAAAGTAACTTTTCAGAATTTAAAAATATTTAAGTTTTTTTTAAACTATGTTTCCCAGTTGATGTAAAATTTCAAGTTTTTTGAAATATATCTCTTAAAGCTGAAGTAGAATCTTTACCGGATGTTATTTATTTTTTTGAATCACATCATTATATAAAAGGAAAAAAAAGGTTGTTTTATTATTTCATATATTAACAAATAAATTTAAGGTATATTACATTAGATATACTTAGTTCTGCCTGTGGGCCTGGAAAATTTTCTAAAAAATTATAAGGGGCCATACCTGGCAAATAATTATAAAGGGCCAGATATGAAAATTTGTGCATTAAAATTCGGGCTGGGCAGGATAATTACAAATAAAAAATCAGTCAGAGCCTCGTAAATTTGATTTTTCGTAAAATTTTAATAAGCCTGTCAGGATATTTAAAATTTTGGATTTAATGTTTTATCATTATGCAAAATTTAAAATTGACTGCCGGAGTGAGAAATGATCGACATGACATAAATTACTACTATAATAAAACCCATTTATTCCATTTAAGAAAAAATATATCTAAAAATTGAAATTTATCGTGGGCTAAGGGTTATGTACAAAAAAATTTTTGTGATAAAAATATTTTGCTTAAAATCGAGTAATAATATACCTAAACAAATCGAGCGATAAATTTGTGGATTATTTTGAGCCATCATACCTATTCCATAAACTGCGGCTTGTCTGACTTCTGAGCTATCATCCGAAATAAAACTTACTAAATAGGGTAAAAACGAGTCTTTGTATTGGAAGGATTCCTAATAATCATATTTTAAATTATATTTTAGAATTTAAAAAAAAACTTTTATAATTCATATCTAATATAATTCTATTTCATATTTTTGCAAATTCTTGAAATTATATAAGGACTAATAATCATTTTTACAAAAATATAATTTTTAGCTAATAATCAGATTATTATAGTTTGGAAATAGTTCTATTTTGTAAACAGTTATAGCCTCTGAGTTTCTTTCTTCAAAATATAGCTAAACCTTTAGGCATTGTCCTGTAAATTAAAGAGAATTCGCTTATTTTTAGCCATTACCCAAATATGCTTATTAGTGGTGTGCCAATTTTATTAAAATATCGGATAGGCTTTAATATTTCGTTTATTCCATTATATAAACACATTTTTCCATAGTGTTAATATTAAGAATTGGTTCAGCTGCTATCGGTAAATTCGATCTGCCTCAAAATTCGGTAAAACTTCTATTGATTACATTGAAATAAATAATTACCGGGCCCGCGAATTCAATAAAATCGTCAATAATACAAATTCCCCACTGGTGATCTGACCACGGTCGTCCAACTTTCTAAAAAAATATATAAAAAGCGTTACAAAAAAAATATATCTTTTATTTCTTTTTAATTATCAACTGTTTATATGGATAGATACCCCTACTTTAATATGTTAGCAAATATAAAAATAAAGTAATTAATATTACATTACACCATTAATAATTTCTTTAATATAGGATGCTGTTAAAATTATCAGTAAGATTAATTATTTCACATAGCCTCTTAAGTTACTATGAGCAAGGCACGTCATTTACCCAGATAGATTTGCAAGCCTGTGGTAAAGGTCGTAAAATACCAAATTTAAAGTAGAATTTGAACTAGGAAAAAAATTTTCGATTAAATATTAATTTATATAACATCAAAAATGATAAAACTTTGAATTTAGATTATTGATATAAAAAAATAAATAAAATAATTTTGTATTATTTCAAACCAATAAATTAAGGGCATGTGGTAAGATAACGGCCACGAAGGTGGGATTAAATATCGGTCCGTACGCCTTGTAAAACGAATGAATCAAATCGCACATTTTACTCAATATATAATTGTTTTCGTCTCCTTCCATACATAAATCCTCTTCAACCAATTCGTCATAATCCTCATCATTTTTCTTGTCTTTATTTTTTTTTCCCACATTAAAAAAGAAAGAAAAATATATACATTTTATATTTTAATGCTAGGTTAAAAATTTACCCAATCTTTCTTGTTCTTTTTCAATATGAATCTTGAACAATTTCTCGAGTATCCTCATAATTTCCGGTATTTCAGAGTTTACGCAACCATTTCCCAATAAATCTATACACTTAATAATAACAAGATTAAATTTGTTTAAAATTTCTAGTCACATGAGTTACATAAAGAATGAGTTGGTTACTTACTACTCTCTATATTTTATAATAAAATTACATGAAAGAGGCTTCAAACGTAACTCGTCAAGAACTAATTCTAATATCTGCCAACTTAAACTGCTTTTGTCTATATAAGATAGTTAATTAGTCTAAAAAATTGCATTTTAATTCATATCTATTTGTGAAATATTTTGAAAACTAAATTTACTATAACTCAGTTTATAGCCAGCATTATTCGGTCCTCGAACATAAGGATCATCTATATTGAGATTTAATGGTCATAAGAAAAAGATATTTTTTTCGATAAATTTATAACAGATACAAATCGAACCTGAACCGTAAAACCGGTATTAACCGGTATTAACCGTTATTATTTACTAAACTGAATTAAAAAATTCAAAACCTTTATCATATATTTTCAGATATTTTGTTTATTGCTATTTGACAAATGCCAGCTACCCAAGTTAGCATATATAAGTGTTCTCAGTTAAAAAATATATTCTTACTCTTCATAGCTAAAATTTGAGATAAGAGAATCTCAAAGATATTTTAATTATATATGGTTCAATTTTATTTTTTAGAATTTTAAAAGATGAAAAACCCCGGTTTTTAAAGGTTCAAACGGAATGAATATTATTATGCTTATCTGGACCTAAACTTGAACCTCCCTGATTTATAGAGTTAATAATACCTGAGCCAAACTATTGATGTGTTCGGCCAAAACTTCATTTTCGGGTTCATTATCTATAGCTTTAATCAATTCCGGGCGTATGCTATTCCAAACTTCTAAAACAAATGCGGCATCTTTACCCTTGGCACATTCTAATAAATAAGGAAAGCTTTCAGAGGCAGCTGTTCTAACACGTTTTTAAAAATCGAGTTAAGTTTAAAAAAATTCTTCATTTAAATTTGGAGCTAAAATTGAGTGATAAAATATCCAATAATGCTAAAATATAAATATTTTTGATAGATTAAATAATATTATTAGCAAAAAATTGCTAATAATGGCATAAAAAAGGATATCATCATGGAAATAAAATTTGAGCATGGGTATCATGATGGAGAGAGTTTGTTGAACGTAAATGGGGGAAAAATTGTGCTTTAGTTCTCGAGCATAACAGACCAGCATTTGACAAGCTGTCGCTTTATCATCCAACCCGGTCGTCTTCAAGCCGAAATTTTGACCTCCTTCACCGATATTTACGAACTGCCAGTCATTCGTATTGACTTCTTTCGCTGTTTCAGCTTAAAGTTTAAATTTTTTTCGTTTAAATAAAATTAACAATCATTCTATATTTTTATATAATTCAAAACCAAAAATTAAAATTCCAAGAAAAAAATGAATTATTTTTTATTTTCCCAACCATAACTATTTGATATCAATTAATTACATAATAAGAAGGAATTTATAATTACATTTTATTTAAAATTTGGTTATATATTATTTTCTCTAGGCCTATAAATATCTCATTTAAATTTATTTTTTATTAAATAACCCATAAAAATTAAATTTTTGTAAATTATATTATTTAAAAGAGAAATTTCTCAAATATTTGAAATCTTAAAATAATGTGTTCCCAGCCCAAATACTGTAAAAATCTTTAGAAGTGAATAAATATATAATATAAAGTAAGAAATAATATAAATTCTACAATCGACAAAAGCCACTTCGGGTTTGTAAGAAGCAGTTTGAATGACAGGTCCCATAACAATTGGAAGATACTGTACAAACTCTGGACCCATGATTGAGCACATCCGAGCCCATGCTGATATTAGATATGACAGCTGTTATTTTTAATATAAAAAATGATATAAATAGGTGTCAGTACTACGCACTAGATAAGAGTCTCAATAGGCATACATAAAAGTAAGGTTTATAGAATTTTTTTTAACTAACCTGTGGATCATCATCGGCAATTTTAAGTTGGCCCGTTTGTAAAGGAAGGAGGAGCTTCATTATATCGTGAGAATCGGGTAGAAAGGTTTCCCTACCCACCGCCATGCCTATCAGAGTTAAACATTCGATGGCTTTGCCTCTTAGCAAACTAAATGTCATAGAATGACGTTTTCCGGACATTTCGTTGGGAGTTTGTTGCTATGAATTAGTTTTTTTTTAAATGTTAAACTTTACTTGTTTAATTTAACTTCAATAATTAAATTTGGTGTATAATATTTTGCCACTTTAGCATTTTTAAAATCCATATCCAGATTATTCCATTTTTTTAAAGATAACCACTGTTTTAATAATCACATATAAAAGAGCTAAATGGAAAACGATAAACGATTTTATATTAATAATTTACGAATCATCTCTAAAATAATTATTTATGATGATGAAGTATGACCATTTAGAAAGATTGTATATAGATTAAATGTCTCTTTAATCGTCATTTTATTTCAATTTCACTGACAATTAAATTATTAGGGTATATTTTGATTTAAGTATTTATTAATATTTGCGCATTAACCTTTTATTTTTCTAGATTTAACTATTTTGTTATTATTTTATTAGGGTACGGGTGGAGTTAACGATCCGGTCTTTAGTCTGAACCATAAAATCAAAGATGGGAATGGGTTGCTGCTCATAAAAAAAGGACTGACCCACACTACGATTTTAAATAACAAGATCAATCCAAGACCAGTATTTAACTTCTCATTTTTTTAAAATGTATCCTGAAAATCTACAGGTTGGTGGATGCATTTAAATAATTTTGACTATATAAGCATATTACTAAATATTAAATATATGAATATTATCACAGACCATTTTAATTTAAATAATATTTATAGAACTGTGTAGATCCATTTTTTATCAATCCTATCTATCGATATTACTAAATATCCAATCCCTATCCTATGTTTATATCAGACATGCAGAGGTACCATTTGCACGGCCTGACCTGGATTTTTTTTTAAAAATTTCTTATTATTTTAGGCCCGGTGATTTATATTTTATTTATCATCCATCTTTGAAAACAAATTTCATAAAAATATCCAAATTTTATATTTTAAAAAGAAACCAACTAACTTTCACGAGTGATTATGTGTGTTTTGATTTTATTTTCAGTTAACCATCTTATTTAATATTTGCAATGCTTATGGGTGAAATGTAGTGTTAGTAAACAGCTATTTAGCCGATTTAAAATAAAGAGGATAAAACGATTTTAGCCAAAATATTAATACTTAAGCCTCAAAATTTGGCCAATAGAAGTGCAAACTTTCTGCCATCTGTAGGCAAAATTAATAAGCTTGAGTAATTTACTTTTGGGCAAAATCTCGAGTTAACCGTTTATAAAAATTAGCTAAATCGAGTTTTTAATAACACTAACTGAATGTGACTCGTTAGATATTTTAAAATCATTTTCTTGTTGAAGATAATATTTAAAAAAATAGTGAAAAGTTTAAACTATTTTTTTAAACTATACAACAAATAAATTGTATTTTAGTTCCTTTCATTAATTTATTATTATAAAACTATTTATCAAATAAAAAAATCCTTAATTATAAATTAAAATTATAAAATAACTAAACAATAAAAATATAGGATCAAATTTTTAAAAAATATCGACCCGATCCGATATTGTTTGAAGACACTAAATATCGGTGCCGATTCGATATTTATAATAAGCACAGCCTTAATATATGCAAATTCTTAATCATGGTATTAGATTGGTCTAGGACCAGATCAAAAGTCAAAGAATTTTGTCTAAGGATGACTTAATAAAAATAAAGCAATGAAGCCTAGTCAACTAGTCAAACTATTCACAAATCTCTTCTTACCTTTATAGTAAAAGAAAATTAAGACCAAAAAAAATATTATATTGTTTATATTTATATAAAAATTATGTATACGATAGAATCGGTGGTATGTTGGATTATAAATTTCAGGCAAGGCACGAATTTGGAGTAGAACGGAATGAATGATAATTTCGCGGCGTCTGCAATAGAGGCTATGGCTGTAGTTATTTGTTCCAATATTTTTTTCTTAGCGTTCGCAAATTGAATTACATTTTTGTTCTATAGATAATGTAGAAATATGATTATTTTAATTGATTTCGCAATTTTTTATAAAATTGTTTTAAATTGTCATCATAAAATATAAATATATACAATATGGATGGATGGAAAAGTTTATCATTGCTTAAATTGGTTTGTTATTTTTTAAAAAAAGCCATAATTGAAGCAGCTAGCACCCTAAAACTAAACACCAACGGAAGTTATCTTTACTAGGGTAACCCGATATTCCTCCATCCATAACCGATTCTCTTAACGTCCATGGTCGTGAGCATCCCTGGGTTTAAGTTAAGTTTATTAATTTGAATATTATTTATACTTTATAGATAAGCATAAGCATGGATGTTAATTCATCATCATCTGATTTTGAATTACATCAACATGTACCAAGATAAGAAATTAGTTGAATTTGAATTCCACTTCCATAAAAATAAATTATATTTTATAATAATGCAAAATCCGATTTTTAAAAAAAATTTTTTACTCATAGATGGCACAAAGAGTTGTACATCTTTTAGCGAAATGTCGAAGCTGCACCAGTTTTAAAAAATTGGCTAAAATTGAGCGATTTTGCATCATAAGCAACCTCTATCTAAAGAACTTATTATAACATTACCAAATGTAAAATGTGCCCTAAAAGTATATCAGTTTAAAAATGTCCAAGTTCTAATTTTAAAAAAAAATTTAATTGTATAACTATAATTAGCCTATTAATAATTTTAGCTTGTTGTATTTCATAGGCTTACTAAATTATTATGATTATTATAATAGATACATAAAGTAAAAATCATTAAATATTATATATTTAGATATAAAATAGTTAATATTGTCATAATTGGTTAAAAATGAATATTTTGTTTGTATTTTCGTTTTTGTTGAAGGATGTATAAATATTTTTGTCCGAATATTATTTTGCTAAGATAAAAATTTTAAAAAAGAAATATATTGGAAATTGATATATTTTCTTTTATGTTGATAATATATTTTCTTTTTTCGCGGAAAATTTTGTTGTGGAAATTTTATAATAAATAAATATTGAAAGTGAGCAACAAGAATATTGAAAGTAGAGATCTGCAAAAGTAGACCCGGCCTGAACGAGCTTCGGGCTAGGCCTAATAAAAATCGGGCCGGGTCGGGCCTTGGAATTTTTTTAAATATATCTAAATTTATCAATTTTATATTAAATTTTTTATGTAAAATAAAAATATTTTAGTTATAGAAACAAGGTGCCATATAACATGTCTTTTATTTTGAGTAATTAAAAAAATTAATTTATATATTAAATAAATTCGGGCAGGGTCTGGCCGGCAAAACTTTTTAAAAAAATCTCGGGCTCGGGCCAGCAAAACTTTCTTAAAAAAATTTCGGGCCAGGCCAGGTTTGAAAAATTAGGCCCAATGCAGATCACGAATTGGAAGGGCACGGAAACGACAAACGAATAATAAATTGCAAAACGACCTGACATATATTATACAGACGGACAACAAAGAAATGTGCACAAATAAAATATTATTTCCGCGAAAAAATAAAATAATATTAGGACAGAAATAATAAAAATAATTAATCATCCTTCAACAAAAACACAAAAATATACATCATTAACCTATAATGACATGTCCCCTCTAAAAAAACCATCAACATACCAAATTGACCATAAAGAATCGCCTCAATCTTGCCCCAATGTCCTCCAGATCATCCATAAGCGTCTTGGCTGTCCACTCTCCCACCTAGGGATTCTCCGTACTCTGCATATATTGCCCCCGGAATAGCCACCACAACTCTTTCTCTTCTAGCTGGATCCAGATTCGTATCTCTCACCATATGATCCCTGGCATTGGACTTACGTTCAGCCCCTGATCTAAGCTCCTCTCTGACATAACCTGTGGCCAGAGACATCACCATTGTCCCATTCCTTTGCATAACATGAAAGTCTCTCCACCGGGAAACCGGAATGTGGTCCACCACCACCAGTCGAGAAATCCCTCTCCTCCTTGGTCTACAACACCGCGCCCACAACAGGTAACCGTCATATGAATCCTACTATTGGGCACTAATCTTTCTCGCCCATTGCTCACTCCCAAATCCCAATGTGATCATGCATGTCAACCAACAGAGTTTCCTGAATCCTCCCATAAGACGCCTGTAGAACTGCGAATGTCCACCGAATTTGATTCCATAATGGTAGAACTGATCTTGTATATTATGTTTCCATCTTTAAACTTCAATTGCTCAATGGGCAAGAAAGATTAGTGACATAGAAGGATCCATATGACGGTCACCTGCCATGGGTGCGGTGGTGTGGGCTATATAACGAGGCGTCTCCAGAAGGGGAAGAGAGGCATCAAAAGCTCGCCTGGTGGTGGAGAACCACATTCCGTTTCCCAGATGAAGAAACTCACATATTATGCTGTGAAATGGGAAAAAGGTGATGTATCCGACTATATGTTGTGTCAAAGAGGAGCTTAGATCGGGAACGAAACTGGAAGAGAAAGAGTGGTGATGCCGATGGTGTCGATTCAGAGGACGACGGTTGTGGCGGAAACTGAGGATAGTTTAGCGGGAAAAACAGCTGAGGGGCTAACAGATGACCTGGAGGACCTCCTATTGGGGACAGACGATTCATTTATAGTCATTTAGGTGTGTTGGTGTTTTTTTTAGAGGACATGTTATAATAGGTTAAAAATGTATATTCCGTTTGTATTTTCGTTTATGTGAAGAAGTGCGATTAATTATTTTTGATAAAAAAAAATTTTTTAAAAATATAATTGGAAATTGATATATTTTTTTATAATATATTATATTTTTCGGGAAATTATAAATTTTTTTGTTTTCAATATTTAAATTTTATAATAAGTGAAGCACTCATTTCTTTGTTGTCCGCCTGCGTAATATTTGTCAGGTCGTTTTACATTTTATTATCCGTTTGTCGTTTCCGTGCCCTTTCAATATTTTTGTTGCTCACTTTCAATAATAACTTTTAGGATTTATTTATTTTTAGTGTGATTCTTTGAAAATAAAATTTAATCACTATTATTTTTAAATTTTATCAAGGGTTTTATATTCACACAATTCAAAGTATTATAAATTTATACATTTTATAAATAATTAAATTTTATATGATATATAAGTTTTTATATATCGAAAATTAATAAGAAACTCATTATTCACTGTTATATTTATTGTAAATATATATATACATATATATCAAAATAAAACTATTAATTTTAAACATGGCTAATATGTTGAATTAGAAAATATAAACCATTAATTTATTTATAATAAATTAAATATGAAATAAAAATTTTAAAAAAAATTTAATCATAAGGTTTTGAACGAACGTTAATGTTATGTTCTATCTCCCCACTTGTCCCGTATAACTTATTTCTTCTCTTTACGTTTTTGTTTTCTACTTGCTTCTTTTGTTTTCCCATCTTCCTTTTTTTTTGTTATGAAATTGATATTATACCTTATTTTTATATTGCATTTGAAACTGGTTCTAACCAGTTTCAAGAATGACTGTATCGCGATTATATAACAACCTTTTTTTCTCTTTGTTTGCAAAAATTATAAAGGTTGGAAAAATACCTTTTTCTGGACCATTAAATATTTTTTTTTGTAAAATTTAAAATACATTTCTTTTATGAAAATTTATTGTGCGTAGTTTTTAATTATTTTGTAAATTGTAACATTTTAACAATAAAGTTAAATTACTCTGGATGATGACAAAACCGGTCCCAACGTCAACCTACCAGAAAAACCCGGTCCCAGGAATTCTGCCGATCCCAACCCATATCCCCCGGTAGAACCGCTCGCGGTCGTGGCCCCAAACACAACAGTTAACATGTCCCATTTTTTGAAGGTTAACGTTGAACGCGTGATTTTCATTTTCCAAATCCGAAAAATAATACTTTTTCTACCCACCTCATCCCAAATAATAAAAAATATGTATAATATCCCGTTTGCAGATCCCAATTGCAATCGTAATTTATGGGCTGTTTTTTAAAAAAAGATTTGATGTGCTGAATAATATGTAAAAAATTATAGTAAATTATACTATAGATTGTTGATTGATAGCTGGATTATCGAACAAATCTTTGGTATTTTGAGTGAAGACAATCTCGCATTTGTCGAGTAAAAGTTGCAAATATTGTATAATAATATTTTGGGGACATTCTTCGCAAAAATTAACTAGGGCTGCTGCTGAATGAGATTGCACCTTTGGATTTTGAACGTCTTCCAATACCTTTGTAAGGCCTGGAATTATCTTAAAAAGTAAAAAAATAAAATCGTTTGATTTTTATCATGTTTCAATTCTCAATTTTTTATATAAATCTTATCTTTTAAGATCTCTTTTACCCTCTTTTACAATAAAAAAAGAATCCATATAAAAAAAATATAGTGATAAAATCGAGTAGAGGGCATGGTGTCTTTTAAAATAAATATAGAAATTTTTATGTTTTATTTTAAAGGCTAGGGAAAAAACAATGTCATTTAATGTAATATACCTTGGCGTGAAATTTCTTTTCAAATAATGGGGCAAAATCGGAGGCCATTTGTCCGATAGCATTACATGCTGCGTATCGTACCCTAGGATGCTATTCAAAAATATAAAACATCAAAATTTACAAAGCTCAATTAAGAATTTTAAAAAGTACAGCTTGAGCATAATCTGTGCTGAAATTTGTATCTATTTCAAATCGATCAATGATTTGGACCCTATTTATATATATATAAATTTTTAAAGCTCTAGCTCAAACCGGAATTATGGGCTCTCGAATTCCAATATGTGGTTTTAAGAATTTTAAATTACTCGATATATATTTCGTTTAAATGTATAAGTTAGTTATATATTTTGTAGCCTTATAGATTCTCTTTAAGAAAATATGTTTAAAAAAATTGAGTATATATATTTATCGGAGATCTGCAAAGCCCAACCAAACGGTCAGAGAATATTTTTTTTAAATAAATCAACAGGCCAGGCACCCATACATAAAAAACTTTCGGACCAAGCTGAGCAATCCATATATAAAAAAATCAAACAGAGCGTTGCGAATCTCTGATTTTTAAAATTTTAATAGGCCAGCCATTTTGAGATTTTTTTGAATTTCAAGGCTAATATTTTCATTAATAAATAGTATTCAAAAAAAATATTACGATGTTTGTTTCTTTGTATTTTAAGGTTTAAACAAGTTATTCGTGAAATGATTTAATTATAAATACACCGTACAGATATCAAACCTATTGATTTATAAAAAGGCTGGTGTAGAAATAGATAGAAAATATAAGAGCCTCTTCATTGATATTGGGGGAAAAAATAGTTGGCTGGAAAATTCGGACAAAAAGCTTAATGGGCTGGTAGGCGAAGAATTTATGGGCCATGTAACTTAAAATTATTAATGGGCCATGCTTTGCCGATCTCTAGTATAGATGCATTTCTGGTATAACAAAAATGATTTTGAGCTAGCCCCACTTTGGGACAATGAAACTCACAACGGATTTTGATATTTAAAAAACAATGTTCAATATTTATGTGGTATATTTTACGCTACTGGAGGAGCGTCATTCAATATAAGACAGGTTCATTTAACTATAAATAAAAATTTTAAACATAATATATTCGCATAATGCCAAACCCAAAAAATATTGTACAAAAAAAAATGGGTAACTTCCTTATATTTTTTGGCATGGCAGAATTTATTTACAATATTTAATGTTTTCCTCTTATTAAACGAATTTATCATTAAAGAAAGTATAATTTCACGTTTAGAGGAGGAAGCCTCCTCTTTCCATCGTCAAACCTCAAATATAACCCTATAAGTAAAAGGGAAAGATTGACCAATTACTTATACAATGGTTTCACGTGGCACAATCTATATTTCCTATATTAATATGATAACTAAATTTACCGCATCATTAAGATAGATTATGATGCCATCGACGATGGTACCCAATAATGTTTCCATATATTTATGACATCCTTCACCAACCGCCCCCAGAGCCATTAATGATGCATGTCTTTCCTTCCAATTTTCTATTTTTATTATTAAATTTTTTTATATATGAACATATTCATCTTTTAAAATCACAAATAATTGCGTTGAGAACAAATACGATGATTTAAATCGATAAGTTATATTTTTATATCTCGAATTTTTAAATTTAAATACAATACATTAATAGTTTATATATTATGAAATAAAAATGTTAATGACCTACATATATTATATGAGCAATATCAATATGTTAAAAAATAGGATATTAAAATATGAACTTTATTTTAAATAGGATATACCTAACATTATTTAAAAAATAACCTTGAGTAAATTCTTTTTTTTGGTATAAATGGAATTGTGATCCTAGTTAAAGTTTGACCAAATGTGGAGTTAGAATACTATAATAACAGAGCGAGAATATATAATGAATTTCTGAAGAGATTAAATTTACCAGATATATAAAATTTAAAAAGAACATATAATGAAATATATTGAGTATACGGCTATTAAGCATGGTAGCCACACAATTCAAAACGTGTGGCAGAAACGTTTTCCCTGCCAGGGCGCAGGCTAGCCTGTCCAGTGCCGTTTCCGCCTCGGTGCAAATCTCGTTGTCCTCAAAATCCTCGTCGTCAAGTTCGGGTTGCCCATTTGAGGTTTGTGAGTTAGATTCAGTTGGTTCTATAGGAATATCGTCGCTCAATTTTTTGGACCAAGCTTCAGTATCATCCGAAAGTTGGGCCATAAGAGTCAAAATCGTGGGTACTATAAATTATACAATACATTGGCCATTTAAATTTTCGTAAATTAATATTGCCAAAATATATATAACTCTTTTAGTCATATAGCTTCCCTTTTCAATCTAGGTGGCAAGAAAAAAGTCACATGTTTCTATAAAAAAACAACTAAGTAACTAAAAAAAGTTGCCTATGAAGATCTATGAAGGAAGCATGAGATATTATTTCTCTAACCGTTAAAGTTCAGTTATTAATTTGGAGAGGTACGCATCCACCGGCCTAAGCCTGGATTTCGGCAAAAAAATGATTTGAAAAACCCGGGGCATGCAGGTTTTTAATATGCAAAATAAGATCAAGCTTATCAAGGTGGGATTTGTATATAAAACACATTTTTTTATGATAATGGATCAAGGCAATATTACTTTACTTATAATTAATTACAATGAGAAATGTTACATATAAATACTATCTTTTATATTAAGCTTTAAAACGTTATTTAGCAGCTAAAAATGGGATTCAAAATAAATCTTTGGGAAAAAATTAAAACCGAGTCAGCAAATAAAAAAATATAAGCCTAGCCTGAAACTAAGCATACTTTTGCATGTATCTAGTGTGTATATGTATATTAATAACATAATTAAATGAATAAATGAAAAATGTGTACTCAATGTTTGTAGGAAGTTGGTATGATGATTTAAAAATTTTCTAAACATTGGAGCCCCATTTTCGGCTAAAGACACAATACATTCTAAGGCTAGTAATTTAATCTCGTCAGACATATTTGGAGTAGATATAATCTGATATAAAACAATAAGTTTTAAATATATATATATATATGCATATATATATATATATAAGATAAATCAAAATCAAACTTTAGTGCAAAGTTCTAAAAGAGGGGTTAAATAAGGTCTTAGAATTTTGGGTACAGAATCACATATTTCTACAATGTTTTTCAAGAAGGATTCCTCTTCGTCATCAAAAATGTCATCCTCAATTTGTGAGTCATTGATAGCTTTCAAATGATCATCGGCTATAATCTAAATGTAAACAAGTTATTATATTTTTGAATTTAAATTTTAAAATAATAAATAAGTTCAAATAAATACCACTTCCCCATTAGTTAAGGAGGTTCCTAAAAAAGGCAATAAACGTTCATAAACACTAGCTGAATGTGACTCGTTAGATATTTTTAAATCATTTTCTTGTTAAAGACAATTTTTTTAAAAAAATAGCGTAAAATTTTTAACTATTATTTTAAACATTACAACAAATAAATTGTATTTTAGTTTCTTTCATTAATTTATTATTATGAATTATTTATAAAATAAAAAAAAATTATATAATAATATATATTAGAGATCTACAAAGTTAAATAATCGGGTTCGGGCCGGGCCTAATATTTTGAAAAAAAATTTGGGCCGGGTCGGATCGGACCTTGGAAATTTTATTAAATATATCTAAATTTATCAATTTTATATTGAATTTATGTAAAATAAAAATTTTTGATTTAATTTATTGAAACTAAATGCTATATAACATATGTCTTTTATTTTAAGTATTTATAAAAATTAATTTCTATATTTAAATAAATTTGGGCCTGGTCGGGCAGGTAAATTTTTTTTAAATAAATTTCGGGTGCGGGCCAGGTTGGCAAAACTTTTTTAAAAAAATTTCGGTTGAAAAATTAGGCCCATCACTAATATATACAATCATAAAATAATCAAAAACAATAAAAATATCGAATTGGATCAATTTTATTTAAATATAGACCCGATCAGACAAAATTATTTAAAAATTTTAAATGACAAGATTTTAAAAAATATCTGGAAAATTATATATTTTCTTTATAATTTTTTTAGCCAGACTTGAAAAGGGGAAAGAATTTTCAAATATGGATAGGGCCTCAACATTTGACTCCTGCATACTTCAATTTATGTACTAATTTTTGAAAAATATATATTTATTATTTTTACAATTTTAGAACAGTGAATTATTTTTGAGATTAATGATCTTCATTTTAGGATTCGAAGTTTAAAATTGTTTTGTTAGACATTTTGAGACCAAAGACAGACCGCTTTGTGGGCAACCCATCAAGCCCGGGGTATCTCTTTTAGAAAATTGGCTAAAGTTACTCTCATCAAAATTTTCGCTATATAGAGTTTTAAATTTCTGGCCCTAATTCGGGTTAACAACTCTAAATTTAACAGTTCAATCCAACCAAACTTGGGTTGGTCAGACTTAAGTAGACATTCTTTTGAACGCATTCAAATCTGGGCCTTAACTTTAAAACTTATTTTGGACCAGATTTGTAAATATTTTGTTTTCCTAATACTTTAATGAATATTTTTTTCAAAAGATTACCAAAAGTTTCTTTTTAGTTTCTTTCAATTTCAATTGCTCTACTATTTCAAAAACAATTTTATTATTCAACAGTTCAACAAATAAAAATTTATCAATTCAAAACCAATTTCTAATATAAAATTTTGGAAATTAAATCATAATAGAAAAGAATATTAAAATTAAATTAGTTGGGCAAGATATTTGTAATTTATTTCTCGCATCAGATTGGGCCTAAAAAATGGGTTGATGCAAGAATCTACTTTATATTATATCTTAAAATACAAAAAATTATATAATTGTTAATTACATAATTTAAAACAAATAAATGATTGTGCTCTAAAAACTCCTCATATGATCTTTAAGATTGAGAGGTGATCAAACATCTGCCTGCCCTCTCTTTAATCCTTCTACTGGATCAATATCCCAAAGATGAGAACTTTGGTAAAAAAAATAGCTTTTCCATCCCAAAATCATAATATACTTCATTTTTATTTATATATATTCATTATTTATTTTAATTTTTAACTAAAATATAGTTTCCCAAACATGTTTACTTTCAATATAAATAGCCATTCAATGAAATTTATAAAGAAATAACTTTTATTAATAAAATTCAAAAATAATTTATTTTTAAATAAAAACTTGATTAAAAAAATATATAATTTTAAATTGTTAAAAAATATTCTTTTTCAGTCTTTTTTAAAGGGCCATACCATAAACTCTGACCTTATATTGGCTGCATCTCCCCAAATAATGAAAGCTATGGTCTGGTCTATGATTTGCTTGGACCAATACTTATGGATCAGAAGACAATCCTAATAAAAAACTGAACCAGATCATGGTCCTAAATAAAAAGATAGGTCCAGGATCAATTTTTTAATTTTTTTGTAATTTTAAAAATATTTTTACTAAATTTAATTCTTGTTTTATCATATTATTAAAAATAATATAACATTAAAAATATCAAATATGAATAATAATATATATCAGAGATCTGCAGAGATACCATTTGTATGGCCCTGGCTTTCTAATTTCAGGCTGGGCCATTTACAGATTTTTTTTCAAAATAATTTAAGGCCTGGCCAGGATTTTTTAAAATATATATTTATTTTTAATTTTTAAAGCTATAATGGCGATTTAAAATATATGGCCAGGCCTGGGTATTTTTTTTAAAAAAATTTCAAGCCTGGCCCAGGTATTTTAATTAAAAAATTTCAGGCCCTGGTATATTTAAAAAATCAAAATATGGCCCAGTTACCCAGGCCAGGCTGGGCCTGCAGGTCTCTGATAAATATTTAATTTAAAAGTAGGCTTTTTGACAACCTTTTTGCTTTCATAATATATTGTAAAAATTGGTTAAAAACAAAAAATTCACAAAAACTAAAATAACTCCAGAAAAGTAGCATAAAATAAAATAAACAAAAAAATTATATGAATTGAACAGCAGGGCAAACTTAAATATTAATAAGAAAACTGGTCACAGCAGCCATGAATTTCAGCCCCAATTTAAGAACTGTTGACCATCAATAATCTCTTGAATACTAATCTTGGATGGGATGATGTTTCATCACAAGTAGAAATATTATACAACAAGCTAGAGGTCTGCAATGGGTGGGCTTTAAAAGATAAACATTAGGTGGGTGGGTGAGCAAGTTAGAAAATGCTTTTAAAACAATGTGCTAATTAATTTTTAAAATTTTTTGCAAAATGAGTAGAATAGATTTTTTTTTTATTTCATAATGTTGGATATTTTAAGTTTAAATAAAAATACATTAGGGGGTAATTCCATACCAAATCGATAACTTTTCGGCCCGACCTTTTTAATTTCGATAAAATTTTGTATGCTGAGAGAATATCATTTGAAAGCATCGAATCCAAAATTTTAGCTTCCTAGTACTCATAGTTCCAGAAATATCAATGGTCAAAAGTGCCAAAAATGACCTTTTTTCGAAAAATACGATTTTTTGAAATTGAGATAAGGTAAAAAATAATGATTTTAAAAATATAAGTTATATGTCATTTTGTAACTCTATTAAAGGCCTTTTATTAAATATTAAGGATTTTTTTGAAATAACATTGTTACGGTTTTTATTTACGTTATAAATTTTAAACATTAAAATTCCAGGTGTTTCGCTTTCCAAATTTTTTTGAATTTAATATTTTCTTATTCTCTAACCTTATATCTATTCATAAAAAAAATTTAAACTTGGGACAGCCATGGGTTTTTTAGTTATTACGATTTAAAAAATCAAAAAATAAATATTTTTTTCAAAAATAGATGGCGCTCCTTTATAAAATAACGTGTTTTGTTATAATTATTATTTTTTAAAACTTTTTTTCACTTTTAAACATAAATAATAAGATTTTCCAGCATTAATATCATGAAATGAGATTATTTGGCTGCGGTTATAATCATTTTTTTTTGTAAAAAATTTTAATTTTCGAAAAATTATTTTATAAATTTTTAAGATATATAGGATAAATTAAAATTCATGAAAGATATTACCTGTCTATTTTCGGTTTTTCATTAAATTTTTTTTTTGACGCCATGAAAATTTCGTTTTGCGAAAAATTATATGTACGCCCAGTAGCCCTTGATGGGCTAACTATTGTTAAAATATTATTTTTTGGTATGAAAAGGATATTTTGTGCAGCTGGATAAACAAAAGAATTTGCTGGTCCTTTAGGGTGAAGAAAATTATTTTTTACTTCATCTCTAATTACATTCACTTCTTGTACAAATCCTAACCACCAATCGTTTTCATATGCACATGTTACATATCTTCTAATCTCATCGATTATCAGATCTCAATCAAATATATTCACGTGGATATATTGACATTCGTTGCAGTCACCAAAATAACAGGTGGGTAACGGGGGATTGCAAATCATTCTGCCTATAACATCTCTATAAGTTGTTAATGTATCCTCAACATTTTTAGTCAATGTTGCTAATTCACAGCTTAAAATCATAAGTTTAATATTCTGATGTATGCTACAAACATACACTATGTGTTCCGCTAGTCCCTGCTAATATACAATTTTTTGGTCTTAAGCTAGCAAATTTCGAAAATCCAATTAAGTTTAAATTACTCGCCTTAAAATGATTATATAATTCTTTCAAATTATTAAGAACTAACCTTTTTTGAGCGTTCATTCGTTCCCCCTTTTCAATGATAGATATGCAATCTTTTTTTCCTGATAATATCTACTAACTTTATCAATGCAAAATTTTTTTTAAACAATATCAACTGTTTTTTGATTGAGATATTTTGCAGGCTTTCGATTTGGAGTTGAAAGACTCCCCTTTTCTTCTAAAATGATTTTGGAATTATATGCCATATGTAGCGTTGAATGTCGTTTTTATTTTATTTGCGCTCCAATTAGAGGCAGAATGGTCAGCAATTGATATTTTTTATTTTTAGATAAATTGGGATATTGTAATTTCATGTTATTGAGTATCATTATTATCTTTCGTATCCGAATCTGGATTGTTAATTATTATATCTGTAATCGCTTTTGTTATTTTTGCTGCCTTTTTTTTTGGATAATTTTTTTCGGTTAGTTTTTTAGGAGATATTCCTATTTCATTTAAAGTTATATTGATTTTATCTATTGATGTTGATGCTGTTATTTACATATTCACTATCAGAATTTATATTTTCGATTTGAGATTAACTTTTACGGCATTTATCAC